TATTCATGTTTGTTGTGTTTTATACAATCATTCATATATACTTTATTTGTATGATCTGTGATGTGTACTTAAAAGTTGGCTTTTCTAGCCATTATGTTAGCCCTCTCTGGTCTCCAGCTACCTTAACTGTAGACACGTGGTCTTGCAAATCATCAACAGCTGTGGAACTAAGATGAGAGAGAGAGAGAGAGTGCTTCCCACGCTAAGCAGCAAAATTTGAGGGAGACTGAATCAAGACCTATGAGAGAGTAAGACCAGAGTGAGACCTTCTTGAGAGCAAGACCCTGGTGAAAGTGAGACTCTGGTGGCAGTAAGACCCTGGTGACAGTGGTGGAGAGACTGTGGCATTGCTGTGGAGAAACTGACAAGGTGTAACCAGAGGAGCCCTGAGATAGAGGCCACAATTAAAGGTTTTGCTGTTCTTGCTGGGTGATGAAAGGAAAGGCCGACTGCTGAACTAAAACCAGAACCTGGACTAATTGAGGAATTGTGGCTTGGGATTGCTATACAATTTGCACTGGGTTATATTCTTTGCCTCCCCTCCTCTCCAACTTACTTTCCTAATAAACCCCACTCCTGGTACCACAGTCTGTGAGTCACCTCTGAATAAATCTCATACTGCTGCTATGGCTCTAGAAGTACCATGGGACTGGGCTACAGGCTCTTTATCTGCTTTCCACTCTGGGATGGTGAAGGGCTGTGGTATTCTCACTCCTTCTAATCATTTCAGAGAGAGGCTTACAGCCCTGTGCATTAATGTTCCATTTTCTGCTCCTTAGATCTCAAACCTGCAAGGGTGCCATACACCTTAATTTATGTTATTGACAAATTAGTTTAAGTGCCTTGGTGGGTCACAAGGCCCTCATTTGTATAAGCACACCCAGTCATTTGATGGGACCTGCAAAGACTATGACTACATAGACCAAATTAAGTAATTCAATGCACCACAGCAACCCATGTCCTCCATTTGCTCTGTGCTTTGGTACCAGGTAGTCAGGAATTGTGGAGGAGCATGGACACTGGAATTAACATACCTGGGTTTTTAAAATCCCTATTCCACTATGTACTAGAAAATCTGTGCCTCATTTTTTTTAATCTGCAAAATGGGGAGAATGGTGATTGGTGACAATCTTGTAAAATACCGAATAAATATCCTAATTGCTAAATAATTAGTAAATTTTATCAGACATCTAATCTTCCTACCACACTCAGTTTAAAGTAAAACATTTAGGCCATGCTTGAGAGCATCGTGTGAAATAAAGTACCACTCTGCGGAAGCAGAAATCAGAGTTTTCCTTCTTATTTGAAGGAGTTTGGACTCCATGGGTAATAAATACACTTGAGTAGTGTCAACCTCAACTGGGTGCTCCCAGGCAAAATGGAAGTGCCTACAAGTTTTATATCCAGATTACCTACAAAAGATACCTAGAGCCTTAGTAAGGGTGGATCAATGCCAAGAAGTACTGGACTAGAATAATCAGGAGAGAATGGTAATTAATATTGTAAAACACCTAATAAACACTTTCTAAATGTGTGCAATAGTTCACTTGTTTTCTCTTGATCCTGTAAAGTGAGAAGACTGAGCCAGGAGACTCCAAATGTCCTGATCTGGATAGTTATTAGACTTCTGGGGTCAGTCAGCTGACTCAGACCAGGAATGGAGTGAATGTGGTTACTCACGTGCTTAGATTAATAATGGGATGATGTAATAGGTGAAACTCCTCTGGTGTCATTTGCTAATTGCAATTCCAAAGGCTGCCTCTCTGATTCACACAACCACTGTGAGATAGCAGAGACCTTTGGTTATAGTTTTGTGTCCTTTTCTCCATTGACCATTGTAACCTTTTATCTCTATATTGAATAAACCAGTGACAATCGGTGCCATAAAGCATGCATGGGAGAATGAAGACAAGTAATTTTGTTACTCATGGACAGGTCAGCTGCCCAAACATTTATCCTTCATTGGTGAGAATAAAAAACCAGGAGCTAAACACAATGCCAATGAAGAAAAGTGTGAAACACAATGGATATGAAATTTTTATGCAAACCAATAGAAAATTTAAAAACCCAACAAACCAATCCAGTAGTTGTTGAATTGAATTTGACTCATGGTGCTCCCATTGTGACTCCGTGGAGGAAAACTGTGCTCTGTAGGGTTTTGAATGACTGCTTTTTGGGAAAATTGCCAGGCCTTTCTTCCAAAGTACTTCTGGGTGGACTTGACCATTTGTGCCACTCAAGGACTCCAGACTCAAGAACAGAACAACTATTTTGGAATGCCCACAATTCCAAAGTCTGGGAAGTTTCCAGAACTGAAGGTTCATTTTTCTTTGCTAGTATAACAACCAAAATGAAGGAGCCAAAATTTCAGAGTTGAAGGGATACACTGGTTGAAAAGGATGGGCTTTATCTATCTGGGAGGCAGTTTTTTCATAGCGCTCTAAGAATCTAGGGTAATTCTGGTCAAGCATCTCCCACCCTGGGTCCTAAACTAGACTCCCAGTGTCATACCAGATGACAGGTGGGTCCAGAGCAGACTGAGAATCAGGGATTTCTGAAGAGGCAGCTCTTACAGGTTCCCTCACTAGGCAATCATCTCACAATCACTTTGGTGAATGAGATTGTGCAATAGAAAAGCTAACAGTTGAGGCAAACTGAGCAGGCAGGGAGGTCCCCTCATGTTTAAGAGCAGGTGTCACCTCACATGGGGAGGAGAAATACTGGGAACTCAAGGGACATTTTCTGTTGGTTGCTAATTTTTGGAAGGATTTGCTTAGTATTTGTGAAGTTATGGTCAAGAATTTCTTCATTTGCCTTCCAGTCTCCCTCTTCTTGGCCTGCCTCCCTCACTATGAAGACTGTTGGAATGATATTGTTGCTGTGCATTACAGAGTTGGAGCAGACCCATAGCTGACCCTCCAGCAGGTTTTCAGAGGCAAGAAAATGGCATGGGGGGAGATTGCCCATCTTTCTCCGAAGGAGCAGTTGGTGGATTTGAACCACATGCCTTTGCATTGGCAGCACAATTCCTTCCTGCCAGAGCTCCCTCTTGAAATAATTCTGTGATTAGATTCCTAAGTAGTTAAAGAATTCTAACAATAACCTAACAAAATACTGCCACTCTTATGGTCATCAGTTGGCCACCTGTCACATGGGGACAGAAGGAATAACATGATGTGATGGTTAAAAGCTGAGTCTTAGACTCAAACTCCTAGGTTTAATTCCTCACGATTTCACAAACTTTTGAGTAAGCCAACATTTCGGAGCCTCAGTTTTCTCATCTGTAAAATGGGAATAGTAAGTGCTCTGTCCATTATTAAGTATTATTGTTAACAGTATGCTGATTAGATTTATAAGTGCTCTGTCCATGTTAAGTATTATTGTTAACAGTATAGTGACTGGATTTCATTAGCCAGCCATTGACTGTGAGGAGAGGTCCATTGAACACCATGGTGGTCCATTCTGGGTCCTTCTCATCACCAAGGTTAAGAATAAGTGCTGTTCCTAGGTGCTGTCAACTATAACTCCTAGCGACCCCATTTAACCTTGCCCTATCCTGCATGTCCTCCTGATCTCTAATATGCTCAAGGCTTTTGGGGTAGTCATTGGATCAATCCACCCTATAGAGGATCTTCATCTTTTTAGCTGGCCCTCTGCCTTTCCTAACATGATGTCTCTCTAAGGACTGATCCCTCCTGAAAACATGCCCAAAGCATGTGAGACAAAGTTTTGTCATCGTGCCTCCAAGGAGCACTTCAGTTACACGTTCTTCAGGACAAATGGATTTGTTCTTTTGGCAGTCCACGATCTAGTCAATACTCTTTTGCCAACACCACGGTTCAAAGGCATAGGTTCTTCTTCTGTCTTTCTTATTCATTGTTCAATTTTCAGATGCATAAGAAGCAATTGAAAACATCATGGCTTGGATCAGTTATCACCGTAAGTCTTTAAACGGACTTCATTGTCTATTGGTCTACTGGTGAGATTTTTGTTTTCTTGATGTTGAAACGTATAACCCATTTTTTTAGGCTGGAGTCTTTCATATTCTGCAGCAAGTGCTTCAGGTCCTCCTCATTTTCAGCAGGCAAGGTTGTGTCATTGGCATAAGTCAGGTTGTTGATGAGTCTTCCTCCGATCCTGATGCCACATTCTTCTTCATAGACTCCAGCTTCTCAAATGACTTGCTTACCAGAGAAGTGAGTCAAATATCAAAGAACCTGAGGTTTTCTCACTCTGATCTCAGTTCTTCTCCCCAGCAGAAACTTCCAAAGGACTGGTGATGTCTCTCCATTCTTTCTCATGCATATTTTTTTTCTGGGTCATCACCTATGAAAGGCTTTCTGACTCAGCATTGTGAATATTAAACCTTTATTGATTCTTTTATACCACCGTGAACGATTAACTAAGAGATCTGATCTGTCACAAATGGAGGACTTGGCCCCACTGTTCTGGAAATCTCCCTGATGGGGCCATGTTTAGTCTTAATGAAGACAGAAGTCCATGCAGGCAGGCAGGGAGTCAGGAGCTTGACTCACTGGGTTGAACGAAAACTGGACATTTGCAGAGCAGCTCAAGTGATTGAACACACGCTTTGTTTAGTGCCCAATTTCTCAGAGAAGATTTTCCTCGGCCGAGTGGACTGGGGCTGGGGGTGGGGGTGGGTGAGTGGAGCTGGGGATGGGTAGGAACTGGCTTGAGAGTTGCTTAGCAACAAGATTTTGCAGCCCTCTGTTCTCAAATAGGCACCAGTTGCCTGCTTTCCCCTTGCTAACCCTCAGCTACCATCCAGAGCTTCCTCAGGAGTATGCTGGTGGGAGGGACTAGAGAGAGGGGGCAAAGTTTAATCATTGAACCAAACAAGCTGGATGTATTTAGTCCACAGCTCCTGGCTACCTGGGAGTCCTCAGCCTGAACTGGACGTGAGTGGCACGCCTGAGACCCACGGGTAAACGCCACACTGAAATCTCTGCTCATCTCCAGAGAAACACTACTTAGGAAAAATGTTTGCGGTGCACTTGATGGCATTTTACTTCTCCAAGCTCAAGGAGGACCAGATCAAGAAGGTAAGGACTCAGCAAGGACTCAAGATGCCTGTTTCTTTCTTCATGACAAATCTGACACATTGCCTGCATCACACAGGACTTCAGAGAGTTTCTTCTAAAAGATCTAGGAAGCCAGTGTGTACAGGGGCAGAGGAAGGAACTCTCCCTCATACTGAGCTTTGTCTTCCTGTCTGAGTCTCATCTCAGACGGAGCTTCCTGGCCGATATCAGATATTGAAGGAAGGAGAAGGCTTTAGGAAATTGGAAGAGAATTGTGTTTGATGTGTAAGAGGTGTTTGCAGTGGGAAAGGCTATGAAAGGAAATGAAATTTTTAAAGAAGTTTGAAAATCTTTTGAAGCAGGTCTGATTCTTAGTGTGAGAAAGACTATAACTACAGGAGCCAAGAAGGGTGGGAGCTTTAATGCCTAATAATTGAAATATTTACCATTGGCATGCACTATTTGCCAATGGTGTGGATGCCAGTGTGGCACAAATGGTTTGCGCTCAGCTACTGACCTTAAAGGTTGGCAGTTCAAACCCACTCAGAACTGCAAGAGAAAGAAAGAAAGAAAGAAAGAAAGAAAGAAAGAAAGAAAGAAAGAAAGAAAGAAAGAAAGAAAGAGAACTGCAACTAGTGATCTGTGTCCATGGAGATGACAGCCAAGAAATCCCTGTGGAGCTGAGTTTGCCTGGACACCAGGTTTGCTTTTTGTCTTTGGTGACGGTCCTCTGTGTGCATAAATGGTATGGTTTGTCTTGTCACTTTGCTCAAGAAGCCTGCCTCCAAAATGTGTTTCAAGGTGCACTTGTTAAAAGTTGCCAGGACTGTGCTGGGGTGTATTGATTGGGGTGCTCTCCTGCAGCCTGGAAGGTGCCAAACCTGCCATTCCAACCTCGCTGGTCAACTGCCAGCGGCAGGTCCATCTCTCACTTTGCAATAACAGAAGGCCTCCAGGAAAAGGGCTTAACCGAGGTGGCCCAGATGTTTAACGGAGAAAGGATGAAACCCACTCCCAGCTGAGTCCTCCACACTCTCCACTGCGCCACTTGCCTCCTGCTTCTCCAACTGAGAGAGAAGTGTGGCCCCTTAACACCCCTTAATGAGCTTGAGGGGATAAAGTCCAAAACAATTTTGTTAGTCAGGAAGTTGAGTTAGAGATTTCAGGAAATTTAAAACTATTATCAATTCATCAAATTTAATCAGTCTTTATTTTCACTTGTTGATTAGATTCACAGAGCCCTCTACTGGCTATTTAAGGAGGTGAAAACTTAAGAATCTTCTTTCTCCTAATACCTACTTTGGTATTAAGTGTATGATAAATTATTTGGCATAAATAATGCTAAATGCTCTCTTCAGCCCTCGAAGAAGAGTGGCTAAAACCTTGACCCCTGTGGTTCTGTAAACTCCTCTTTTCCACATCCCCCACCCACCCTGGTCCTGTGGGTGGTGACACCCCAGAGTGAGATGGCACGTGTATGTCCACTAACCAAGGTACAAGCACTGGAGGCCTCTTTGGAAATCTGTTAGGGTCCTGGGATGAGGAGGTCAGCCTTTGCCAGTGCTCAGACAGCTCCCTTCTCCATCCCAGCCCACCCAAGGGAAGCAGGAACACTTGTAACAGTGAATTGAGTCAGGGAATCAGGGAATCTTTGGTGGCCACCTTACAGTGACCCAGCAGAGCTGGAGGTAATGTGGGAAGTGGGCTTATGGTGGCTGAGGAGGCTACTAGTTGGAGAATTCTCCTCTTATTCACTCCTCTGGGCAGGAACAACTGGTCTAAGGCTCTGAGGCCGCCAACCCCTACTGACTTTTCACGCTCCTTGCTTCTAGACTCAAGGTCCCAGGCTTTGAAAGGTTATTCCTTGATTTCAAAGGTTACTACTCAGACACTGGGCTAATTTTACTCCCCCCCACCCCAAATATTAATGTTTCTTATTATATACATAATACATCCTTTTTCTAGAACATTTGGACAATTCCAAAAGAGGAGAATTTGGGGGGGGGGGGGAGGAATCTACTTGTATCCCAAGCACAATTCACATTTTAATGTGTCTTCCCCCATCTTTTGTCTATGTAGAGTTTAATAAAACTGGGCCCACACTACTTTTATAATTTTTTATGTTTCTCTTAACATGATGGTACATTTTCAAAATCCTTATGTCTTATTTAAAAAAACAAAAAACAAAAACCCCACAACACACTGCCTTTAAAAGCCATAGTTGAGCATCCTGTCATCATAGTTCAGCTCAGCTTCTTTTTTCTTGACACCAATAATAATGAATGTTCTATCATGATTACTTCTGATTCCTATTCATGGAACCTGAGTCAGGGAATACAGGGCAATTTTAAAATCCGTTTTACAGAAATATTTTCAGAGTAGTACTTCTCAAAAAACAAAAACAAAAAACACAAAAAAACCCAAACAAAACCCCTCATTGCTGTCGAATTGGAATTGACTGTGAGTTTTGGAATCCTCCAGTGAGTTTTCAGAGGCTGTAAACTGCACAGAAGGAGACTGCCCCTTTTTCTCCAAGGAGCAGCTGGTGGATTTGAACCTCTTGCCTCTAAGTTGGCAGCACAATGGCCGGTGGTTTGAACCCACTCAGTAACAGTACAGTAAAAAGTCTGCTTCCATCAAGATTTCAGCCATCAAAATGGAGAAAACACTTCTACCCTGGAATCAGAATTGACTTTATGACAATACAAAGTGTGAGTTTTCGTTGACTTTAATACCAAACCACTTTCTGGAAAAGTCATGCTGATTTATGTCCCCACCTGAAGGGCCGTGATTGTCCATCTCACTTTCTACCACCTCTGTGCACTTAAATCAGTGGGTGTTTTCTCACCATTTCCTCAACGGTTCAATCTAGAAGGGAGCTAAGAGCTCTCAGTAGAAGTGACACTGGAAGGCCATGCTGGAGGCACTCAAGCATTTGGAGAGCTTCCTGGTCTCATTTTAAAAGCTATCCCTATACCTACATGAAAGTAAAACCAAAAAGAAAGGAAGAGCGGCACACATTTGAAAGTTTTTCTATTCCAATATATTGACATTATTTGACCTATTGACAACAGGGGACCAGAACAGGCCACTGACCTGCACACGGATGGTTCTTCCTTGAGAGGAGGACTGGTTGGGGTTTCAAATGTGTATTTTTTTTACAGTTTAGTAAGTCAATATTACTAAAAGTGGAAATGTTCTCTGCAACCCCTCCCCTCTGACATTGTCACGTTTGCTCTGTGACATGCCTGGTATCTTTTCTGTGCTTCCTCTGTTTCTCGTTATGTTATGTTGATAATGTGTAATCAGTTCTTCCCCCCCCCCCGCTAGTTTATTTACAAAACTTGAATACAAATTCACACACATTCTTTCAATTTCCCTCACCCCCCTGTAATCAATTCTTATTCACTTATAACCATTTAACCTACATTTTTCCATTATCTTTACAATCATCCTTTTATTTCTTTTTCTTTATATGAAGTAGGTTAGCAAATAATATTGGGGCTTTTAAAAATTATTCATAGAGATATCACAATTTATTTAACCCTTTCCTTCTTGCTGGCTATGTTGAGTACTTTGGAAAATAATTTTCCCAGTTAAAATATTGCTTTGATTTTTTTTTAAAGACATGTATTCCTAATGTATTCCATATTTGGGATTATTTCTTGAGAATAGATTCCCAGAAGTGAAATTGCTGGGTCAAAGAACTGAACATGTTTATGGTTCTTGACTTATGAGAACTTTGGACCATGTAAGTGATCGCTAAGTCACCTTCTAACTCTCCCGTTCTGCAAGTTTGACGTGCTGCTTGATGGCTCTCTGTGTAGAAACTAATAACACATGCTGGTTTGTGAAAAACAGTTCAGTTTGCTCCAAACATGAGCTTGGCTTTTTGTAAGCCACAATCTTCCCTTAGTGTGTGTGAGTGTGTCCCTGGTTACATATGCCCCAAATCATCTATTTAGGTTGAAAATATGACCACCTCTGCCCCTCAACATATTGCAACATAGACCGACTCTTCCCTTCTGGCTACTATAGGAAGTGCCTTTGAAGATACAAGGAATAAGCAAGGAATTGTTGATCAGTCAGCATTCTTCCTATCATAACTTTGACTTACGGAAACAGTAACAACTCAAGGTTCTGAATAATTCTACTAAACTACGGCTCTCAAACAGCCCGCACAGGCCCTCAAAACTGTGCCTTATGTAGAAAGGGTGACATTATGAGAAATTCTTTATATCTAAGGCCTAGACAAAGCTGAGTACTTGGTTCAGCGGCATTGTCTGAGGGCGTGAAGGTGATGAAGCATTTGTTCACTTCCCATGTAGGGCATCCCTCCAGTCCCACCCTCCTGTGACTTGGGTCACGTCCCTCTCAGGAGGTTTTCTCCATTTGTGCCAACCAATTACTGATGTCAGAGGCAGAGACGGATGACTGGGAGGCCAGTAATGAGGCATGACCTGGTTACATCCTCTTCTCTCCAATCTGCTCCAGCCTGATTGTTAGTGGCTCTCTGTTGGGGTTTCTCTGGCCTCTAAGTCCCTGACACATGAGCCATTTCTCTGGCTTTGATCCCTATGCTTGTCCCACAGGCACTGTGGTCACAGGCTCTGAGGCCTGAGTCCTGGCTGGCACTCGTCTTATAATAAGGATCTTGCTTGGCCTGTATTTTTAATGCAATTTGTCAGCTGGACATGTGAACCCCTCACAGAGCTGTAGACCCATACCAGGTGGTGTGGGCAATGAGGGTAGAGGCTGTTATTATAGTGAGTCAGTTCTGACACATTGTGGTCCTCCACTGATTTTCTGAGACTACGAACCTTTACATTAGGAGGCCGCTCATATTTCTCCCACAGAAGAACTGGTAGATTTGAACCAGTGACCTTTTAGTTTAAGTGCAGCATCTAATACCCTATGCCACCAGACTTCTGCTTAGTGATAATGCTTTGGAGCTTTAGATTTCTCATCCGTAAATGAACTATCCAGTTGCCATCAAATCGACATCAATATGTGGTGACCCCAAGGATCTAAAGTTGAGGAAATAGATTGTCAAAACAACTAGGAGATATCATCTCACGCCAGTAAGGTTAGCAAAATTTGACAGAACAGCAAACAACATATGCTGGCAAGGTTGTGGAGAAATTGGAAACCTTATTCACTGTTGGTAAAAGTGTAAAATGGTGTAACCACTATGGAAGGCAGTGTGGCGCTTCCTCAAAAAGTTGGAAATAGTTATATCATTTGACCCAGCAATTCCACTACTGGGAATATACCCTGAAGAGACCATAGCTGACATCCAAGCAGATATATGCACACGCATGTTCATTGCAGCTTTGTTCACAATAGCAAAGAGTTGGAAACGACCTGAGTTCCATCAAGAAAAGTATGGATAGAGAAGCTGTGGTATATTCGCACAATGGAATACTATGCTGCATTGAAAAACAAGGAACTCATGAAATATTATACAAAATGGGTAACCTTGTATGCTGAGTGAAATATCTCAGTCAAAAAAAAGACAAATACTACATAGTGCCACTGTTATAAAATAGAATTGACATAATATCAGGGAGAAGAGGAAAAGAGTGGGCAGATAATGAACATTGCATTGCAACAGATGAAGGAAAGGACTGTCTGAAAGGAACGTATGGTTAGAGATTGTGTGATAATGATCTGGAACAAGAAGTGCATTACAAAGTGAATTGGGGAAGGGAGGAGGGAGGAAAATACGCATCAATAAATAAATGAAAACCTGGTTGGTGACAATCAGCAACAACTCTGTAAACTTTCACTAAAATAATAATTACAAAAAATTAAAATACACTGGAGGGCCAGCTTTTAATAGGTTCCTATGATGGCAACGAGTTTAAGGTTTATTTAACTGATAATCATTCATTTCCATTAGTAATATGAATTGACTTTAAAAATGAACCATCGATGTGCAACAATGAATGAATGGAAATTTTTTAAATGTAAAAGATAAAACAATATGAAAAATGAAATTTCAAAGAAGAAAACATGTATATGAAAATAAAAAAGGAAAATGAACCTTCACCTAAATTTAAATAATGTCAGATACAAATGAAAGCAAGTTTAAGACTAGGTTTTAGAGACTGCAGCTGGAAATGAACTTAGAGTTTTCCAGCAGCTGTTGGATTAAGGGAAACATATCTGTATGTATGTTTTTATCACCAGAAAAGGGAAACTTTGCATATTCAGGAATCTAAGAGTCATGATATGGCTAGTCTTTTCCAGAAGAGACGATGGTGGCCCCTAAACTGAGACTTGCTTTTGTTATGTGTACCATTGGGCTGGAACTAACTGAAAGCCGACCCTCCAGCCAGTTTTCAGAGGCAGTACGTCTGTTGAATTCAAACCATGTATCTTTGGGTTGGCAGCGCAGCTCCTTACCACTGGGCACCACAGTTCCCCGAACTGAGAATTAAAAACCCTAAATTCTTCTTAGTCTCTACCTCTCCACTGTTCCATTGGAAAAGTGAAGAGACCATTTCTTCGTTGGAGCGTACGGGAGGAGGCCAAGTATCTCCATCTCGATAGTTGTCCATTCTGTGCTGGTCTCTCGACTCCCCACCATGCTCCCAGCTTGATGCAGGACCAAGCGGGGATGCTCTGGGCATCCACATCACAAAGCTGGCCCTGACTGAGAAGTGGTGGGGAGGACTGGGGCTTCCAGAGGGCACCTGCTGGCCCCTAGCCTACCCTACTTACATGGCATCTGTTGCAGGTGGACAGGTTCCTGTATCACATGAGGCTGTCTGATGAGACCCTTTTGGACATCATGGCACGGTTCCAGGCCGAGATGGAGAAGGGCCTGGGGCGGGACACCAATCCCACAGCCTCGGTGAAGATGCTGCCCACCTTTGTCAGGGCCATTCCAGATGGCTCCGGTGAGTGGACCCTGATCCCTGGGCTAGGCTGGTGGATCCTGAAGTTTGCTCCCAGACCCTGGCTTACTTCTCCAGCCTCCTCTCCACACGCCCCTCCTCCTTCCTGACTCTGTGTTTATGCAAGACTGATGACCATGGGATTTCACAAACAAATGTGCCTTGCTTTCTCTGTGCCCACCTTAGCTTCACACATTCTGTTCCCTTTCCTTCTGGAACATTTTTTCTTTTAGATGACCTTTTTTTTAAAAAAAAAAAATTAATTGAGATTTTAAAGAAAGTTTATAGAGAACTTGGATTTCCATTCATTCATTCATTGTTGCACATTTTCCTCCCTACCTCCTCCCTAGTTTGCTTTTCTCTTGGAAAAAAAACAAAAATTCTTTCCTTGTTGCACAATTTCTGCCCCTGCCTCCCGCCCCCACTTTTTGGAACATATTTTTCCCCTGGTGAACACCAGTTTAACTTTCTCCTGAGGAGCAGCTGGCAGATTTGATAGTAAATAATCAAAATGAAGCATGATGTAATCAGTTGAATGCTATCGTTGTTATGTGCCAGCAAGTCAAGACTGACCCTCCAGTGGATTTTCAGAGGCTGTAAATCACAAAGGAGGAGAGTTCCTCATGCAACAGCTGGTGGGTGCGAACCATGTGCCCTTGAGTTGCCAGCTCAGCTCTTTACCACTAAGTCATCAGAACTCCCTGATGAAAAGAGTATTAAATGGCGAGTCAAGAAACCTGAGCTCTAGGCCCTATGCTGCCACTCCTGAGGCACATGTTTAGCTTTGGTTTCTCCATCTGTAAAATGAGAAGATGGTCCATATGCTCATTTCCTATAGCTGCTGAACAAATGACCACAGATTTCGTAGGCTGAAACAATACAATTTATTTTCTTACTGTTTCAGAGGTCAGAAGTCTGTAATGGGTCTGAGTGAAAAAAATCAAGTTGTTAAAAAAAAAATCAAGGTGTTGATAGAGTTGCATTATTCTAGAGGCTACAGAGCCTAACGAACCTGTTTCCTTACCCTGTCAGATTTGTGGAGGCTGTCTGCCTTCCTTCGTGCATGGTCCCTTTCTCTATGTTCAAAGCCAGCATATTCCAATCTCTCTCTGACCCCTCCACTTTCCTCACTCACAACCCAGAATGACTTCCCAATTTTAAGTCACATGATAGTTTGTTGTTGTTACGTGCCATTGAGTCGCCTACGACTCATAGTGACCCTATGTACAACAGCCCTAAACCTGCTCTATCCTGTGCCAATTTCACGGTCTCCTATGTATCTACCCCCATTACCCCAGGCACTGAATCAGTCCATCTCATTGAGGGTCTTTCTCTCCTGTGTTGTCCCTCCACCCTCCCACACATAATTTTCCTCTCCAGTGATTGACCCCTCCTTGCAACATGTCCAAAGTATGTCAGAAGAAGCTTCAGAATCCTTGCCTCCAAGGAGCAGCCTGCTTTAACCCTCTTTAGGACAAACCTGTTCATTTTCTTAGCAGTCCATGGTATATTCAATTCTCTTCTCCAACACCACAGCTTAAAGGCATCAATTTTCCTTCTGTCATCCCTAGTCATTGTCCAGCTCTCTGACACATAGTAAGTGATTGCAATGACCATGGCCTGTATCAGGCACACCTTAGCCTCCAGATAGCAGCCTCAATTCCCCTTCATCACAGAAACTAAAGTACTAACAGGATCCACGAATTAGGACATAGTCATTTTGAGGGGCTTTTATTTTGCTTATCACTGCTTAGAACCTTCTAGATGGGATCCATAATGTCCAACTCAATTATTCCAGCCTCTGGACAGAGCCATAGGGGAAGAAGATCAGATGTGTCCTAACCTATTGTGGTTATTGGTTGCTGGGGACTCAGTGCCATACACAATGCCTATGAGAACCCTGTGGTGTAGCTGTGGAAAACCCCAGGCCAGAGGAAAGCACTGTAGACCCCAAATCTTCCTCAATATATAGTCCCAGGGTCAAGTCAAGCTCTAGAAGAAGACCTGGGACTCTTGCGGGAGTAGGGATTAAAATCTGGAGAACTTTTGGAGGACCTTAACTTGATTAGAATCTGGGCTCTAGGACAATGAGTCAAAGGTGGCCTGGTTCCACACTGGTTGACGGGTCCTAGGAAATGTGATGAGAAAGGCTTTGCTCCTCCCCTGTGTGAGTCAGGAGTGGGCAGAGCATGACCCTGGAGGAACCTCACTTTGGAGACAGGTAGTTTGAAACCTCAGCTCGATTCCTGACTTTGTTCACTAGTAGTGTGTTTAGGGGGCTGTGGTCCTTAATGGGTTATCTAGGGCGATTCTGAGGAAGCAGCTGAGTTAAAGTCTGTTCCCTGACTCACAGGGTGTGTGTGTGTATGTAGGGGGAGAGATGGGGGCATGAGGGCTAAGTCCACCTGGCTTCCGGTGCTGTGTCCTTATCCAGATATGGAGAAGGCACGTCCCCAGGAGATAGGGGAAACTGGCCTTTGATAGTCTGGAGCCTGCAGGAAGGGGACGTGCCTTGCATGCCTTGGCTGTTTCCAGAAGCTGTGAAAGCAAAACTGACAAAGGTTTTGAAACTTGCTCCTCCTCAAGCCTGGAGACAACCCACCTTTCTTCCTTGTCTCCTCAGAGTGCACAAGAAACCTCACCAGCACTTTTGCTCCACGAGATTCTTGATCTTGGCAAGCCATGGGGTCCCTCCTTCCATCATCAGCACAGGGGTGCGCGCAGCTCATCCCCTTACCTTGCAGAGGTGGTAGGATCAAATGAGGTTACATGGGAGAGGTGCTTTGACATCTCTAAAACTGGCCCCTTCAGAGCTTTTGTGATCTAACAAACAAAAATTCCCCTAATCTCTGAGAAGGGATTTCTGGTGGCCTATTGGCAAGAAGCTGTGCTGCAATCCCAAAAGCACATGGTTCAAGGCCACCAACTGCTTCACAAGAGAAAGATGGGCTCAGAAAACATACTGGAGGGTCATCTCTGGGTCATTTCCGACTCTGTGGTACAACAACAATCCCTGAGAAGGGGCCCTGCTAGAGTAATTAGCACATGACAGCTACCAAATATTTGGTAACCTCACCTTACCCAGCAGCTCTGTGGGAGAAATCCTGGTGGTTTGCTCATAAAAACCACAACCTAGAAAACCCTGTCGCATGGGGTCATTTTTAATTGAAATAGACTCTATTAAACTTACTAAAATGCCTGCAAACCCTTCTCAGGGACAAATGTAGGGCGAGAAGCAAGAGGGCTCATAACAACAACAGCAGCAACATATAAGAGCATCTTACGTCTGCCCACCGTCAGAAGGCCAAGGGGAGGGAAAGGACACAGATTGTGTCTTGGTTTCTCCATGCTGGTCTAAACGGTGGTTGTGTGCTGGGTGTAGCTGTGTCCTTGGTAATCTAGGTCATGGTCATGTCCAGTTCTCAGTCTCCGAAGATGGCTGCCTCCCTTCTCTGTGGACCACATGGGCGTCATGGTTCTATCTTCTGGCAAACAAGTAAAGATCAATATGGCTATTGACTTTTAACTATAAACCACAAAAAATAAAGTCAAGCAAGCAAGGCAGTCAACTTGGAAGGAGGCTAAGACTGACTACAAAGAAAAACTTCTTGTTTTGGGGTTTTTTTTGGTTTGCTTTTTCCTTAAGGAGAAAAACGTGAACGTTGTTAATCCTTTATTATTACCCTTGGTTGGTGCAATGCCTGCCTTTTGTTAGGCTTCTCCATCTTGAGAAACAAGATGTTGACCCTTTCTGCCTCCTTCCTGCTTAAAAGGAGTGCTGAGAGGTCTAAGAAAAAAAGAAACCCATTTCTCTGACTTAGGGGAGATGGTCTGGTGGAGATTTGGGGAGATAAAACCGGGCCTTGTAGTTTTGAAACAGGGGGCAGAGGCCTCCCTCAGCGGGGGACCAGTGGGCTCAGCTATAGCAAAGATTCGACGTTCATGGTGTTAGCCTCCCATTGGGCTTCCACTTTCAAGCCATGATTGTAAAGTTAGCTATCAGGCTAACTTGAGCATTAGGCATTTAGACACAATGCCTCCAGCAGCTTCACAAGGAACACTGTAGTTTTCTTTGGTGGTGCGCTGGGCGGTGTCAGGGCTGGACCTGAGTCTCCCCGTGCCCCTGAGAGGGGGTCAGAAACTTTCTAACTTCAGTAACGGAGCTGTGGTGGCATAGCCTGTAGGAAGATGAGCCGCTAACCCAAGGGACAGCCTTTCCTCTGAGTTTAATCCACCAGTGGCTCCACGGGAGAAAGATGGACAATCCTTTCCCGTGTGATTTGCAGCCTCAGAAACCTACTGGACCTATAGCTATGAGCTGATTCTAACTCAGTGGCAATGAATGTAAAGAAAGGTGAAGGGAGCTCCGGTGGCCTACTGGCAAGCAACTGTGCTGCAATCCTGCAGGTGTGTGGTTTGAATCCACCAGACACTCTACTGGAGGAGGGGCAATCTCCTGTCATGTAAGTTAGAACAGACTTAATGGTACACAACAAGAAAAAAAAATTTTAAAAAGGTGGCCTGTCTGTCGCTAGGACCCTGGACCTTCAAGGGCACCCTCGTAAATATTTGCATGATAGTGACCTAGCAGGCAGAAGTGAGCTTGTAGCAACCAGGAGCATGACTGTATTGTACCTCGTAAAGCGTGTTCCCTTATGATCCACCTCCTGAAGCTGGCTCTTATATTCTGACGTGTCCTTCCATGGTCTCTGAGGGTCTGAAAGGGAGGCATCACAATAAAGGAGGTAGGAACAAGCAACATTGCTGTCACTGGAGGTGCTGACCACAACAGCAATATAGGTAAACACAGCCGAACAACCCTTTACCCTGGAAAAGACCTGCCAGCTAGAGGAGACCAGGGGAGAAACCAACGGATCACAGCAGAGAAGCCATCATCTGAATCTAAGGCCTCCAGCTGCCTTTACAAGTGGTTGATCACATCACGTTCTGGTGGTCGCCTGGTACACGGGCACAACAGGCATTTGTCATATTCTGACTCTCAGCAGCCCTGCGTTGGGTTTCCAAGGTTGTAGATTGCAGTGGAGACTGTCCACCTTTTTCTCTCAGAGCCGAGATGCCAGCCTCCAGGTTAGCTGTGTAACTGCTACGTGAGGACTTCAAGTGGGTAGTGTCTGCTACGTGAGGACTTCTTTAAGTGGGTAGCGTCTGACCCGGGTTCCTGTGGCACCTTGCTGAGTCTTGTGCTGTGGAGTGTCTGAGGGGTTCGTTCATACATTCACACCTGACCGAGTCAGTATTTCACCCTTCTGCACCCTGCTGTCTCACCAGGTCGGGTGGGCGAGCTTGAGTCTGTCTAGGAACACTGCAAGGGCTCCGGCTTCAGCTCCTTGCTTTGAACTCTAAGATCCTGCCACCCCTCCCACGTGTGTGGAGCAGGGAGCCCAGCAGCAGCCCGAGTCAGCTATCCAGGGTCTATTGCAGAAGACTCCCAAAATACCTCCAAGTTCATTTTCCCCTCAAAGAAAACCTTTCTGGGAGTTCTTGAGTCTGACAGAGTAACATGAAAGCCTGAGAAGATGGAACTTTGTCCGCTTTTGAGCTTTCCTGCAAAACAAGCCCAGTTGCATTATAATATAGCCTAATGCTCCATTTTTCATCTCATTCTCATGGTCCCCTTGTTTGGCATATCCCCCTGACCAGACTTGGTGGAGTTGTATCTTCCTGCCAAAACTATTGGTAAAACTTTGTATGTTTTCTGGGTCCTAAAGAGACAATATTAAAGTGTTGCTGGTGGACACTCAGCCCCTGATAAACCATGAGGAAGCCAACACCTCACTCATGCTGTTCTGATTGGTTCTGATCCATTTTAGACAAATTTTGGAAAGGAAAAGTTCTTTTATTGAATCCTCCTTCTCCAAATACCTCAGGGTATTGAGTCTCTTCACCCTGCTCTCTCTCACCTCCCCCCATCTATTTACCTTCTCAGAATTCCCCCAAGAGCCCCTCCTGTGCATTCCTGCCCTGGGGATCAGTCATTTACATGCACTAATTGCCCCCAGAAGCCAAGGGCATTGGCACTGGTTCATTACTCGATCCACCCTGTCTGTCCCAGTCCTGTACACACCAGAGAGAGGAGTTGAGAACTCAGCCTGGAAGCTGCTGTTCGTCTTGCTTCCTTCCTCCAACCGGGTGACTGGGACTGGTGGTGCTGTGAACTCAGCTCTGTGACACAACTCCCGAGATGAATGGCATCCTGCACCACCATGAGAACTGTCTTCACAGGGTTGAGTTTCCTCCACAGGGCACCATACAGCCTCGTCCCCATACAGGCCACCAGAATGTGTTGCCTTCAAGCTGCGTGTCTGCCATATATCCTGGGAAGCCAGTCTCAGAGGCAGGTGTGGGGTGAGAAACAGGAGTTTTATTATATACTGGTGTATAGGAAGTGGGTATGAGTCTCCCTAATCTTCTCTGTCTGGAGCCAAGGGGAGGTTTTTGTAAGGAAAGGACCTAGGTTGCCCCTGTGGGGATAATTTTGTTCTCCTGTGGTGGGTAGATGGTGGTGGTGTCCTGTAGCTGTTCCCGTGTTAGTCTAACTGATGGCCATGTCTCAGTCTTGCTGACCAGTTCTCACAGTTGTCCCAAACATGGCTGGCTCCCTCCTGCATTTTACAAGGGGCTCCTCGTTGTTTTATCTCAGGGCAAACAAATAAAGACTAATATTACTATTTGTCTATAAACTATAAAGCCAAGTGAGGAAGAACTTCTGCTTGGAATGTGGCTAAAACTAATGCAAAGCCAAACTTTTTTACCTAACGTATTAATCCTTTACTGTCATATTCAGCAACTACAACACCACAACAGACCCTTGAGGCTTCCACTTCAAAAGATATTTCTGAGTTGTCTCTCATTTGTTCTCTGGTAGTCTATAATTCTCTGGAAAGTCTGCAGTTAGGGACCTTTCCAAGTTATTGAGGAGTAATGATGTTAGTCTGAGGACTAAGGTGTGTCTGATTCAGGCCATGCTCTTTACAATCACTTGCTATGCATCTGAAAGCTGAACAATGAATAAGGATGACAGAAGAAGAAGTGATGCCTTTGAGCTGTGGTGTTGGAGAAGAGCATGGAACATCACATGGATGGTCAAAAGAGCAAACAGATATGTCCTGGAGAGGGTGCAGCCAGAGTGTTCTTTGGGGGCAAGAATCATGAGGCTTCACCTCACATATTTCAGGTATGTGAAATATGGAGAGGCTATTCCTTGGAGAAGGACATGATGCTGAGAAGAGTGGAGTGTTGGCAAAGGAGAGAAGGTCCCTCAACCAAGTGAATTGACACGGAGACTGCTGCAGTGGGTCTAATGTGTCAGGAAGTGTGAGGAAGGCATAGGATAGGACGGGCTCAGATCCTCTGTTCACAGGGTCTCTGACTTGATGGCTTCTAACAACAACAACAAGAAGTCTACAGGTACAGTCCGTGTTTTTCAACACAGACATTCAAACACCTCCATTCTTTTGTGTCCTTTCCTTGGCATCTTGAGGTCATTATTTGGCCCCATCTCTTCTCTCATCAGGCTGAATCAGGAATGGGATTGCAGACCCCTTGCACACTCTTCTGTTTCCTCTTCCATGTTTTTATCCGCACTGGGAGAGGCTCTTTTCTCTGCCCTGTGTGATAGAATCTACCTCACCCTCAAGATCTGTTTCTAATACCACTTCATGAACTGGGTCCACATCTGTCTTCTCTAAATGCATGCTCTTGTCCCCCACAGCATGGTTTGTTGGGAAAGACTAAAGCTGTAGATCAGAGATGGGTTCATACCCTATTCCTATCCCTTACCACACATGCTTGGATAAAAATCATTCCCCTTTGACTCCTTGAGCCTAAGTGACTAAGGTAATGACTCCAAGCTCATAGGGCAGTTGCAAGGTTTAATTACACATACTAATATGTCAAACAGTTAATGTACTAACCAAAAAGTTGGGGGTGTGGATTTACGCAGAGGTGCCTCTTCAGAAGGTGATTTCCTTCCAGAGAATTGAAGACCTGATGGAGAAAACATGTGCTTTGATGTGACTCAGAATCTACTTACTGTCTAACTGCTAATGTAAAACTCGTCATATAATAAACCCTCTATTAATAGTCTTTCCCCTGTCCCAATAGAAAATGGAGAATTTCTTTCCCTGGATCTTGGAGGATCCAAGTTTCGAGTACTGAAGGTGCAAGTTTCTCAAGAGGGAAAGCGAAATGTCCAGATGGAGAGTCAGTTCTACCCAACGCCCAACGAAATTATCAGAGGGAATGGCACTGAGGTACAGCAGACAGCTCCAGTGGACGTGGGGAGGACTTGACATCATGCTGATGACGATTCACACCTCATCCTGTTGCCCTTTGCTTTCTCTTCTCTGCAGCTGTTTGAATACGTAGCTGACTGTCTGGCTGATTTCATGAAGACTAAAGATTTGAAGCATAAGAAATTGCCCCTTGGCCTAACTTTTTCATTTCCCTGCAAGCAGAATAAATTGGAAGAGGTAGGCTGGTGGAAGGGTGGGAGTGAGGTGGGGGAACCTTGGAGGATTTGAGGTCTAGGTTTGAGGGAGGTGGGCTTGTGAAGGAGGAGTGTGTAACCGGAGGAGGGAGCGATCCAGGGCCTCCAGCAGACGTTTCTGTCTTAAAAAAAAAAAAAGATGAGGTGGAAATGCCTTGGTTTTAGACCTAATATTGGCACTGCTCAGTGGAGCATATAGCTCAGTGATTCTCATATCTCAGTGTCACTGGGAATCCTCTCTGGGGATTAAGTCTAGGAACTCTGGCCCTGCTTGAGTTTTTATATCAGCAGGTCTGGGAAGGGGCCCTAAATTTGCTGTTTTAGTGAGTTCCCAGTGATATGGGTGCTGCTAGGTGATATGGGCCATTGAGATGGGTGACTAGAGCTGAGGGCTGGGCCATCTCCCCTTCCCAGGAAATCCTTAGGAGAGGCCTGAGCTGGGGTTGTTGGAGTGAAATGCTGCTGCTGAGATGCTAGCAAACGTAAACTCATTGCCACCGAGTTGGAACCGATTCATAGCTGACCATCAGAGGCTGTAAATCGCACAGTAGGAAATTGCCCATCTTTCTCCTTTGAAGAAGCTAGTGGATTTGAACCACTTGCCTTTGAGTTGGCAGCATAACATCTTACCCACCAGGTAACCAGAGCTCCCTGATCTGACAAAGCACCTGGAACGTACAATCCCAGTTGTCCCATTGCCAGGCGTAGGAATCAGGTAATTCATCTCTGTGCCCCTTAGCCTCACAATTTGTAAACAGTGAAAGTTAACTCGGTCTTACATAAATCCTGGATAACAAGTAAGGGAGCATGGAAAAGGACAAGGAACTTTCTAGAACTAAAGGTTATGGCCAAGAGTCAAGTCCCCAGCACACATCTGTCTAGGGTGGAGACTCCTGATCTCCTAACAGCACAGACTGTTATGTCATACAGATGACAGTCAAATCATGGCTGTGAAGCTACCCCCATAGAGGTCCCATTTTGACCCTGTCATCCTTTCATGGGGCTGAGGGGTGACTCGTTAATAGGAGAAACAGCTGACTCAACTCATGCCCATCAGGGGAAGATATAAAGACTGAAGTTAAGGAGAGCAGCCACAGGGTGGCGCTGTGTTAAAAATGAACTAGAAAACTCTAGACCTGGTGGATGGTGTGACTCAGACTTGTGTGTTAGCTGGTCTCTATGCTCCACAGTTTTCATTATGTAGATGACACAGCCTTGGTTATAGAAAATGAAGTCTCAAAATACTTACCAAAGAAGATCAAAGACTATAGCCTTCAATAGGGGTTGCATCACAACATTAGGAAAACAAAACCCCTCACCCTGGGCCCATAGGCAGTATCAAGCATGATGTTGTTGTTGTGTACTGTGGAGTTGGAACCGACCCAAAGCTGACCCCCCAGTGGGTTTTCAGAGGCTGTTAATTGAATGGGAGAAGATTGCCCATTCTTCTCCTGCAGAGCAGGTGCTGGCCTCAAACTGCACGCCTTTGGGACTGTAATGCAGCTTCTTGCCGCTAGGCCACCAGAGCTCCCTGCTATCATGATAGACTTAGAAAAAAAGGGAAGTTGTTAATGACTTCATTTTACTTGGATCCATAGTCAACATCCAAGAAGGAAAAGTCAAGAAATCAAGTGTTGCGTTGGGAAAATCTGCTGTCAAGGACTTTTCTCCAAAGTGCTGAAGAGCAAGGGTGTGAGTTTAAAACCAAAAGTATTCCCGATTCAACCCACGATATTTTCAGTTACTATCTGAAAGATGGACAGTGAGTAAGGAAGACTGAAGAATTGATACTTTTTGAGCAGTGGTGTTGGTGAAGAGTACTGGATATCTGACGGATGGTCAAAAGAAAAATCAAGTCCGCCTTGGAGGAAGTCTGACCAGGGTTCTCCTCAGAGGCAAGGAAGGTCTCACATACATTGGGCCTGTTGTCAGGAGGGGTCAGTCCTTGGACAAGGACACCGTGCTTGGAAGGGTAGAGGGTCATAGCAAGAGAGGAAGACCCTGGACAAGGTGGATTGACTGTCACTGTGGGCTAGAGCCTGGCAGAGATTGTGAGGATGCTGCGGAAGTAGAATCACTGTGAGTCATGGTTGACTCCACGTCCTTCATGCTGGAGTAAGTGGCTGCTTCTCTGAACCTTGGCGTCCTTACCCACAAATGGAGGGGGTTATTGAAGGAAATGCAGCTGGGAGTTTGTATGGCAGGGCTAAGCCACTTATGGTGGTGTGGCCTTGGGCAAGTCTCTTACCTATAAAATTCTCATCCAGTCTGAAAAATTTTATGATTATTTATTATTTAAGACATAAAACTCAGCGAGCTCTGGTGGCCTAGTGGCAAGAAGCTGCACTGCAATCCCAGAGGTGTGTGGTTTGAATCCACCAGATGCTCTGCTGGAGAAGGAGGGACAATCTCCTCCTGTACCAGTCAGATCTGATTTGATAGTACACACACAAAGATAATATACAAAAATAAATTTTTTTAAAGACATAAAACTCTTGGGAAACACCATTCATAGGCAAATGATTGATAATACAAATTGAGAATCACTTTTCTAAACTGAAATTAGGTTTCCAAGCAATTCCTACAAGGTAATACGATGTTAATCCTGTCTTATCAGTGTGACAGACCATTCATTCTATGAGCACAGTATGTACCAGATGGAGTTCTGGTGGCATAGTCTATAGGGAGTTGTGCAGCTAATCCAAAGGTTACATCTCTCTGGCAGTTCAAATCCATTAGCAGCTTCCGGGGAGAAAGAGAAGTAATATCTTTCAGCCTCAGAAACCTGATGGAGGGTCAGCTATGCATTAGTTCTGATGGCAATGAGTTTGATATACAAGATATTTTTTGTTCCTGTGAGAGGGGTAAAGTGATGCTAGCTCCATTTTACAGACAAGTAAACATACTCAGAGACATTAAGTGACTTGCCCAATGTTTAATGATGTAAGTGCCCTAACTCTTCAGCAGTTGCTCTTTCAGTCATTCTGTATGCTGTTGTTATGTGCCATTGAGTCACCTGCAATTTGTAGTGACCCTATGTTCTACAGCTTGAACCCTGCCCTATCCTGAGCCAATCTCATTGATCCCGACATTCCTAATCCCACTGCCCTAGTTACCGTGTCAATCCATCTCATCCAGAGTGTTCCTGTCCTGACTTGTCCCTCCACCCTTCTAAGCATAATGTCCTTCGGCTGTCCATGGAGACATTCATGCATCTCACATTGCACGTTCCAATCACTAGTGTCTGCTTATAGCTGTTCTTCCTTCCTTTGTCTTTCCATGTTTGTGGGCTCAGCCTCAGTTTCCATATCTGTTGTCTACTCTAAGTGTGCTCTATTGTATGCAGGGTTTTTTCAAGGCCTGTTATTTCATAAGTGGATGGCAAATCCTTCTTCCTAGTCTGTCTTAATTTGAATTCTCAGCTTATCTGACAGACAATTACCCTGTATAATCTTTCTAATTATTCCAATGAGAGTAACAGATACATTGGCATTATTAGAAAATACCTCTGTAGAAATATTAAAATCATTGCAATACTCATTTAGAGAGGAGAAGGCCAAGGAAGAGTGTGCCTTAAGTATAAACTTTCTACAGCTAATATTCACATGGGCATTCATGGCCCAGAGGTAGATTCTAGTCTTCCATGTGGGAGACTTGTTTTCTAGGCTGTATTATCTAGAGCTGTAATAACAGAGATACCGTAAGTGGATGTCTTTAATGAACACATTTCTCTTCTAACATTTTAGAAGACTACAAGTTCTAATCAGGGCACCAGCCCAGGGGACCTTTTACTCCCTGCTGGCTCTGGAGGAAGGTCCTCGTCTGTTTGTTCTCCTGGACCATCTTCATGTGGCTTGGCATTACTCTTCCCCCATCTCTGCTTCTTTCTCTTGTTTAATGTCCTTTATCTCTTAAAAGAAAGAAATTAAAACCACATTGTACACCAAGATAAGTGGTTTCCAAAGGGAATTATAACCATAGCCATAAGTCAGCTCATTGCCTGAGAGTCTGGCCAACTCAAGGCTGACCTCCCAGTGGGTTTCCAAAGGCAGTAAATTTTTTGGGAGGAGGTTGTCCATCTTTCTCTCTAGGAGCAACTGGTGGATTTGAACTGCTTGCCTTTGGGTTGGCAGTGCAGCTCTTACCCATTAGACCACCAGATTTCCCTAATCATAGGCATAGAAGTTAGAATTTACAACATGTATTTTAGATAGATAGAAGTCAATCCAAAATACCTAGATTAGATTTCCAGCCAATGCACCTCACATGTAACAACGGCCATCTGTCAGTGATGCTAAAGAGGTGTCAACAAAACTTTTAAACTGACACTGACTAGGAATAAAGTCTTTGTGGTTTATTTCTAAAGATCAGCTAATGGCAACCCTAGGAACAGTTGAGGTATCAAACGCTCACGTGAGGTCATAGGGACGGCGTGGTTGTTTTATTCTCCTGCATTGTTTTGCTGAACTGGGGCCAACACAGCATCAGCCAGCACTCGCATTCACACCATTTTGTCTTGATCTGACGTCTTTCCACAGGGAGTCCTGCTTTCGTGGACCAAGAAGTTTAAGGCTCGGGGAGTTCAGTCCACAGACGTAGTGAGTCATCTGACCAAAGCCATGAAGAAACATCCGGTGAGGCTTCAGCTTGGCCTGGGGCACTCTCCCAGTCCTGGCCCATTTCACTTGGTGGGGTTTGCACTGTGCCTGCCCTGGAATGGGAGTGTGGGGGGACTCAGTTTAGGACAGGTCTCAGCACAGGAGATGCGAGGCCAGCTTGGAGAGACTCACTGATGAATCTTGGTGTGTGGGAGTTCTTCCAGTCACTGGTTGACCTTTCAGTGATGGCCCTGGAGTCCAAGCCCCCCAGCTGCCTCAGGTCCCCCTTGCCCCCCTCCCCACCTCTTCCCTCAGGGCCTTAAAAACCACTCCCTTCCTAGTCTCAGTTCCATTCTCATTTCATTGAGTATATTTAAAAATACTTAAATTAACTACAAAACCAAGACACATTCCTCACAGAACCAAAAACACACGCATATAAAACCAGATTTCCAGTTAACTCTGCTGGCTGGAGCAACATTTTGGTATGTAACTTTTGAGGCTGAATGTGAATCAGGAATGATATTTATTTATAGTCTGTTATCCTCTCCTACTATTTCCATTTGAGAAAGAGAAGAGCCTTAGCAAGGTGGATTGCCCCAGCAAGTGTAACAATGAACTTGAGCTTATCAGAGGTCATGAGAATAGCACAGGATAGGGCAAGGCTCAGCTCTCGTGTCCACAGGGTCATTATGAGTCATAGTCAACTTGATGACACCTGAAGTTCTCGTTTACTTTAAACTACTTCACCTGAGCAGCAGGAAACCCGGACCGAAGTCCCAGGGTGCTGAATTTGACAGAGGTTGAGCTTGCTAGTTAAGATGCCTCTATATAGGGAGCTCTGGTGGCCTAGTGACAAGAAGCTGTGCTGCAATCCCAAAGACATGTGGTTCAAATCCACCAGATGCTCCGCAGGAGAAGGAGGGGAAATCTCCTCCTGTGCCAGTCTGATCCTATTCAACAGTACACAACAAGAAAAGAAAAAGAAAAAGCAAAAGCCTCTATATAGGCTAAGACTGTGGCATTTTCTCCTGGAGACAACATTGCTCCCAGATTAAATATCCTTCCCTCTCTCTCTTCCCAGGGTACCCCAAACAATAAGCGAAGGGCCTAGCAGGGTGCCCCTCGTATCTACGTTGCACAGAGGCATCTGCTTTTCTCTCTCCCAAACCCTGCCATGATCATAAAGGGCACTTTGACTAAGATCTTGCTTCCCGCTCAACAGGCCCACTAGGAGCATCTAACTCTTGCTAACCAGTACCTGCAGCTACTTTTGTTTCCTGTAGCCTGACCCAATGATGCCCCCTGGGACTTGTGTTTGTGTTTTTTTGCAGGACATGGATGTGGATATCCTGGCCTTGGTCAACGACACAGTGGGGACCATGATGACGTGTGCTTACGATGATCCTTACTGCGAAGTTGGCGTCATTGTTGGTAACTCAGTTTGACTTGTTTCTGGGAGGCTGGAGGCATAAGGCTTGTTTGGGGCTTGGTCTCAGCAAACTATGAGTAAATGGTGAAAAGTGTGGTTGGCACCTTATTCAGAAGCTGCTACATGGCTCCATGTGAGGATGGAAATGTAAAACCTATGTTCGTTACTCCAAGTATTTGCTGAATGCTTGCCGCATGTCATGTCTGTACTCTGTGTCGCGGGAGCTGTGTTAGGACTCAGAAGTCCTTGTCCTGTTGAGCATTACTGGGGAGGACATTGGGGAACATGAACTACCTAAACAAATAGATGTCAAGTGTTTGAGTGTGATAAAGAGCATAAAGTAGGGCTTTGTGACAGAGGGTGAGTGGGCTGGGTGTCCAGGAAGGGCCTTTACAGGGGAGTGGCATAATCACAGGAACCTCAGGTGCAGCAGCAGAGGAAGGGAAGGGAAATATATCCTCAGCTTCAGAGATGCACTTGGGGTACTTTAGGGGCCCGAGAGACTGAGCCACAAGGAGTAAAGGTCAGAGAAAGTAGACGGGGCTGGGCAGATGGCAGAGGCCAGAGGACATAAGTCACCGCAATTTCATTGTCTTTTCCTCTGAGGATTTAGAGCAGAGCAAAATAGGGCATACTTTTAAAAATCTATTATTATTATTATTGTGGCAAAATATCTGTAATACAGTATTTGCTTTTTTAATTGTACTCACTGGCTGCATCAGTTTACCTGCAATGAATGAGGGTTTCAGTTTCCCTATCTTCTTCCCCCCCTTTTCTTTTCTTTTTTCCCCTTCTTTAGTTTTTAAAATTAATTTTAATGAATGTTTAAAGAGATTTTGGAATGTCATACATCCATTGTTGCATTTTTCTCCATGCCCACCCCTCCCCCCAGTTCGTGCTTCTTTTTGAAAAGTAAAAGAAAAATTATTTCACCTTCTTACCAACACTAGCTATTTTCAGGTTTTTGTTTGTTTTATACTATCAATCCTAATGGTGGTAAAATGTCATCTTGTGGTTTTGATGTGGCATTTCCCTGAAGGCTAATGATGTTGAACAGTGGATATGCATTTAAAAAAAAAGTTTATTAAAAAAAATAACAGCTGTATTAACAGCACTTCCTTGTGTGTGTGTGGATATTATCCTATCATTGACAGATTTGTACTTCAGGACAGATATTAAAATATTCTTCTTTTATATTAATGTGAAAAAAAACCCAAAAACAAAAACAAAACCCAACCAACCAAACACACACAAAAAACCCCGGTTTAACTGTTGTGTGGAGAACTGATTATTGGGTGAGTGCATGAGGGGTGGAGTTTGGCCAGTTAAGAGGCTGTTGTGGTGCCTGGGAGAAATGTGATATGTGCCTGGACCAGGGAGGGGCAGTGTGGGGCTCTCCTGGAGGAGTGGTTCATGAGAAGTCAGTTTAAGGTACAATAAAGACACATCGATCTGATTTATTGGTTACCTTTGAATATCACATCTTCACCACCATTGAGGGAAGTTTTGAGTTGCTTGTTCTTAAATTTCAGCAGGGCCCTCCTCAGCCTGTCTTTCGCTCAGGGCCAGCACTTTAACACTGATGGCTTCCAACTGCTTTCTTGCCTCCAAGCCCCACGTGGTCGGGTGGGGCTGCCAGCTTGGCCTCCAGATCCTGCCCAGTGTGTCTGCCTTTGTGACTCTTGTCTGCTGACCCACACGCTGGGTGCTGTGCCACATGTCACCCTTTTCTGAGAAAAGGGTTGGGGTTGGTTTTTGGGTTGGTTTTTTCATTATCATATTAAATTCTGCTTTTCTACATTTCTTCATTCTCTTGCTGGCATTTAAAATCTTCAGACTAGAGTACTGGTACAGACAAGACACCTAAATGGGTTGGTTCTTAAATTCTTTTTCCCCTAGGTGGGCTTTTTAAATAGCTCCAGTGAGGTATAAACACAATCTCATTTTAAGTGTACAAGTCAGTGATTTTTAGTACATTTTGTAATCATCACTATGATGCCAGATCATTTCCATTATTCCAAGATTTCTCATGCCCGTTTTCAGTAATTCTCTAGGATTAATGGAGTATGGCTTTCTGATGTGCTAAGCCTATCTCTGTCAAAGGTAACAACGTAACAGCAAACTTGTAACGGGTTTTTGGCAGGTCAGGTGTAAAGAATATTCTTAGTAGCAATGGGGGAGGAAACTAAGTGGTTGAGGAAAAGGATTTAAACAATTACTATGGGTCATTAATAGATTTTATAAGGTCAGATATCTACCTCTTACAAAAATACTTTGTCAGGTTCAAGGCTGGTTATCATTCCCAGTGCACCAACATTTTACATTTGGTTCTATTCTTACTTTCTGTCCTCAGATTTATATGCCGCAAATGGATAACCTGGAGCAATGTCATTTGATAAAATATGACTACCAAATGAATTCTTTGTTGCAAATAATATTGCACTTTTCTATTAACTCCAGCTTTGTTCATACCAAGATTTTGTAATTAGTTTTGAAAGCAGCCATATCAAACTATTTCTTTCTATGCACTCCTTATAATGAAATCTAAAGTAGCAGTGATGTTTCATTTTAAAAATATCTTGAATACAGGGCATCCTTGTAGACCTTGCCTAACTCTGCTCATGACTAGACAAGGGGGACAGTGTATGTAAAAGTAATTGGGAGTTTCTGGTGGCTCTAGCCAGCTTTATCAATAGCTGGATAAACTGTAGTACTCCAACATTTTCCTGTTAAAAAAATTGATACAAATAAAACCATGTTGGAAAAGATTTAATTTTGTAAAAATTAACATTAAAAATGAACTAGAATTCACTGTAGCATGGAGTTACTTTAAAAATAGAATTGTAATTGAAATGTGCCTAACTATATAAATGGAAGTTTTTGAAAAAGGAAACTCTCAATTCAGTACTATAGAATACATTGAAAATAAACTTAATTTTGATGTAAGCAACATTTCACTACTAATGTGTAAGTTGTTACGTGTCAAGTTGGAACCGACTCATAACTGACCCTTCAACTGATTTTCAGAGGCAATCAATCACACGGAGGAGGTTACTCATCTTTCTCCTGTGCAGCTGATGGTTTCGACAGCATGCTTTTAGGTTGGCAGTGCAACTTCCTACCACTAAGCCAGCAGATGAGAATTTGTTCAGGGGTATAAGAAATAAAAAATGTACTGTCAATACCTAACGTATCAATGCTTAAGGCAAAGCACAATGAAATTCTTAATATTTTAATACTTGCCCTAGTTCTAAGCTGATATTTTGCTAAAATATTACATGAAGTAAATTTTATTACAAATATAGGCTTGCAGCTCTGGTGGCCTAGTGGTAAGAAGTTGTGCTACAATTCTGAAGACACACAGTTCAAATCCACCAGCTGCTCCATGGAAGAAGGCTTAATTCAGCTTTGCGGAAGAAAGTTTAATTCAACATAGGTTTAATTCATACACAAATAAACAGCTCATTAAAAAACATCATTGTAATAACCACAATTATACTTGATTAAAAGAAGGTCCTCTAAATTATTTCATTCATACAGTCTGTTATCTCTAAGATGAATTTCAAACTTGAGAAAGTTTTCTCCTACTGAGCTGAGTAGCTGATATGCCCAAAACTACTACAGCAATGTTGTGTAACTGAATTACCTGAGAATCATTTTCTTCCCCAAATTCAAGAATGTATTTTTCCCTTCCAATTCTTTGTATACCATTCAGTGCTTGCTAATATAGAATCAAAGAGAATATTCATTTTTCTAATTACTACCAATTTTGGAGAAGAGTTTTGAAGACTAAAGAAATATCATTTCCCTAATATTCTCTGGGTTGATTAAAAACTTTTTGTCTGTTTTTATTGAAATGTTTTGACTACTTGAAGCTATAATTGGATTTAAAATTCTGAATACTCAATGAACTTACGTGACCAGACATTTATGGGAACTAACACGGGCAGCTCCATTTGTATATCTAATTTCACCTTCCAGTATCCTGAGATGGCAAACTCTGTCATCTAATGTGTTTGTTCTTATCCAAAACCCTGCTGATTCTTTTTCATCCTCTGACTTCTCGTTATACACTGCACTGTATTTCTCATATGGGGATATTTTGGGTGCTTCTCCAAATTCACTGCATGGCCTCCAATTATATCTACAGTGCTCTTTTCATACTTTAACATTTCAACCCAGATTTTTCTGTTTTGTCCTTTACTGAAATGGAAAGGACAAGAAACAATACTAACATGAGAGCATGGCACAGGTTAGGGCCAGGCTCAGATCTATTGTTCATAAGATTCCTAAGAGTGGTAGTGACTTAACAGCACCTAACAACAATGTGCACACAAGGAGCCCTGGTAGTGTAGTGAGTAACATGGTAGGCAGCTAACCAAAACGTCAGCGATTCAAATCCACAAGTTGCCCCAAGGGAGGAAAATGGAGTGATGACTTCCATAAAGATGTACACTCTGAAAGCTATTGAAGGAAGCTAGGAGTTAGAATTGACTTGACAGCCATGACTAGAATATGTTATTTTACAGTAAAAACAAATAATAAGTTAGATAATGTAAACATAATAGAATTAATACATAAACATATTTATAAAAATTCATTAGAGCCAGTACCCATTGCCATAGAGTCAGTTCCAATTGCTAGTGACTCTCTACATTAGAGTGGACTTCTAAGACCTCAGGAAGTCCTAGCTTTGCAATCTTTATTGAAGTTGACCACCAGATCTTTCCCTGAGTTTGAACCACCAACCTTTAGGTGATAAGCCACATGCTTAATCATTGCACCACCAGGGCCCATTGAACCCTGAGCCATCACACCAAGGGCTAGCTGCAGGGAGGGAGGTGCTGGCTGGGGTAGGCAGGAGTGGAATTAGAGGCAGTAATGTATTGCAATGCTTTTAGGTATGTATTGTCAGTATGTTAGAAAAACCAGGAAAATTTGAATCTTATATTCTCAGCATCTGTCAATTTCTTCCATTCAATGTCTTACTCTGCAATATCCCTACACATTTATGCAGCATCTTTTGAAGAAGAAGAAAAACCCCCCTTTTTAGTGATCAAGTTTATTCAGTGAAATAAAAGTATGGCACAGTTGAAGCATTTGTTTTCTTCCTGTTGGTTGCTGATGTTTGTTAAGATTTCAGTTAGTGAGATGAATATAAAATTTAAACCTCTAAGTATAATGTATGTTAGCACTTCTAAATTGAGACACTGCTTCACGGTTGGCTCCAGTTGAAATGGCAAACCTTTGGCACCCTGAGAAGTACGGGTCTGATTTGTTTTTGCTATGAATCCTAGGTTTGCCAAAGCTGCTTCCCTCAGCAAAAGCTAGACCCTCAGCTCCTCATGGCCCTTTCAGGAGGAATTAAAGTCAGCTGAGTTCTCAATGTCTTTGCCCAGCTCAGAGCTGTTCCCTCTCTGTACATTCTTCTCGATTCCTTACCCAGGCACTGGCACCAACGCGTGTTACATGGAGGACATGAGTAACATTGACCTGGTGGAAGGCGACGAGGGCAGGATGTGCATCAACACAGAGTGGGGGGCCTTCGGGGACGACGGGACTTTGGAGGACATCCGCACGGAGTTTGACAGGGAGCTGGACCTCGGCTCTCTCAACCCAGGGAAGCAACTGTAAGTGCTGTCATGCTCTAATCTGGACATTATCACGGGGCAGTACCCAATCATTCAGGTACCTCACTACCTTACCTTGGGGACCTTTTGCTTGTGACTAGTTAATCATTGGAGAGCTCTGGAGGCTGGTGGTGAGCAGTTACACTGCTAACACCCAAAGAGGTGATTTGAGCTCTCCAGCTGCTCCGCAGGAGAAAGGTGGGCAGTCTCCTATGTGCAATTTACTGCCTCTGAAAACCTGCAGGAGGGTCAGCTTTGAAATGGCCTGACAACAATTCGTGAGTGTGCATGAGTTATCCATCACAGTCAGTTGATAAGCCAGGGCTTGTATTTTAGTTTCATTTGGCAGATAAGGAAGGAAATTGAGTTATTTCCTATAGATCATACCTCTAATTTTAATTCTCTAATTCTAAATATTGATGGAATTATCCATCAATCTTTATGGAGCCCCAGAGACATGGCTATGAATTACATTCCCCAACCCCACTTTCTTAGAGCGTCCAGATGTTTCATTGCTGTTATGTGCCGTGGAATTGGAACTGATTCATAGCTTACCCTCCGCTGGGTTTTCAGAGGCAGTAAATCCCACAGGAGGAGATTGCCCAATCTTTTCCTGAAAAACAGCTGGGGGATTTGAACTGTATTTCTTTGGGATTGCAGTGCAGTTTCTTACCACTAGGCCACCAGAGTTCTCTAGAGCATTCAGATAAGGGTGGAAGGGTCTCCGATCTGACCAGAAAAGAGCAGAGGAAGTAGGACTCAGCTGAAGACCTCACTTCTGAGTTTGCATCGGTACCTAATTTCTCAGAGGTTAAATCACAGGGCAACTGGTGGGCCTCGTCCACCCATCTTCAAGTCTGAGGAAGATGCCTCTGAAACTGCGTCAGCTCTCATTTCAGCACCTGCCGCCTGGTAGCATCGTTATGTTGATATCTGTCTTGGATCTTCTGGGCTCTGAGCCTCCTGTGGGCAGAAAATCCTTTTGTCTTTCTTTCTTACACAGTATTCTTACACATTATAACAGCTCATTTAAAGAAATGATTTTTAATATTGAAATAATTTCAGACATAACAGAAATTTTAAAAAATTTAACAGAATTTTCTCTTCACTCCTTCCCTTCATTTGGTCCAGTATGAACGCTTCCCCCTCACTCACTCTCTTGCTGGGCATACATGTTGTGGTTTGTCATGGAGCCTGTCGGGAGTCACAGCAATCCCAGGAGTGCAGAACAGAGCTGCCCCACAGGATTGCCAAGGCTGTGACCTTGGAGATAGAAGCAAGTCAGGTCATCTTGTGTGTCTTCCAAGGGACTGCTGGCTGTGGTCAAACCATCAACCTTTTGTTCAGTTAAACATTTATGCCACTCATATACTCACACCCATAAAATACACATATGTATGGGGTGACAGGGGTAGGTGTGTTAGAGACAATAAGGTTGACTCAGAACAGAGCAGGGTTCAGAGCTGTTGGACATAGGGTCGCTATGAGTCGCAGACGACTTGACAGCATATAACAACAACAACATGCACCAATTATTTTCCTCAAACCGTTTGAGACTCAGTTGTATACATGCCTTCAACCCTAAGAATTTCTGTATTTATTAAAAACAAGCACGTGCTCTTATATAAATACCATATGATAATATTATTATCAATTTTCTATAATTTACACTTAACCAATTCTGATATCTAATATGCAAACTTCATTCAGAATTCACCAGTTGCCCTACTAATGCCCTTTTTTGAAAAGAAAAATAAAAGCAAAACAATTTTCTTGTCCAGGCTCCAATCCAGGATTACGTGTTTCATTTTGCTACTGTGGCTCTTTAATCTCCCTTAATCTGGAATGGTTCTTTAGTATTTCTTTGTTTTTCATGACCTTGGAAAATACAGAGCATTTGTTTTACGTAATGTCTCTGCATTTGGATTTATCCCACCTTTTTTGTCTTGATCAGATTCTGATAATGCATTTTTAGGAAGATCATAGAAGTGACATGTCCTTTCAACACATCCTGACAGGAGGCACAATGTCTGTTGATGCTGCTTCTGGTGATTAAGGATGATATTAACTAGATTTACTTGATTAAGGGCTAATAAGTTGTTTTTATCATCATAAAGTTGTTATTTCACCCTTTGTAATTAATAAATATGTGATGAGGAAGTATTTTGAGACCATTCCATCCCTCATCAAACTTTCATTCATTAGTTTTAACATCTATTAATGAATTCTTCTCCCCTTCCCATTTTGTTTAATTTCTTTCCTTTAAGACCACCTTCTTGCAATTTCCAGAGAGAAAATACAAAACAAGAAACAGACTTGGTTTCAAATACACAAACAATGTGCTGGATTTTAACGCATTACTGAGAACAATTTTCAGAGAATGTCAGCTTACTCCAGGGCCCTGACGTATTCCTGAGGAGTAAACATGATTTCTCTTTTCCTCCCACTGGGATGACTTCAGGCCCATCTCACAGCTCTTTATTAAGGAGTCCTTAAATTTCTTAGTTTATAAGTAGTTGTTCTATAAGGAGACAGAGTTCTGGTAGCCTAGTCCATAAGGAGCTGCTAACTCAAATTGACCAGCAGCTCTGTGGAGAAAGAGGAGCGATCTCCTCCTCTGTGATTTACAGCCTCTGGAAGCCCACTGGAGGGTCAGCTAGGGATCAGTTCCAATTAGATAACAATGGCGTTTTTTAATTCTACATGGAAAAACTGCCTTAAATTCACCATTCTCTCCTGAATTTATAAATTGTTGTTAAAAGGAAAACCTTTCTCACCTCCTTCATTTATTTATAATAGTGCTCATGGATTCTTCCTTCTATTTGATTGATCACAACCTTTCCTATCATTGTTTTGATGCTCATGTGCTTTCAGATTTGGTCAGTGGGAATCCTTTTGACTGGCTCTTCTGACCTTTTGGCATGTCGTCATCATTCTTTAAGTATTTCTTTATTTTGAAGCATGGCAAGATACTCCAGGTTCATCTTCTATTTCTGAGCTGCAGCCTTGGAATCAGCCATTTCACCAAAGAGCTCTGGTGAATAAACATTTACAGCACCTCCCAGACACGATCCATCCACCGGAACGGCAGGCTTGGAAAGGAAAGGTCTGTCCCGGGTGGACCCATTCTCTCTCCCTTTGCTGGTGAAGCAGAGAGGTCATATTCCAACCATATCTGTTGGATTCAAATGTGATGCCATATTTGAACTTAATCTTCCTCACCCATCTCCAATTCACTTAAAAAAGAAGACTATTTCTCCAAATTTAATCTGAATTTCTTTTTTTTTCTATAATTATATTTTATTAATTTTCATAAACATTTACAGAGATTTTGGGCTTCCACTCCGAATTTCTTTTGATTTGGTTTTTTTCTTTTATTATTCTAAGGTTTTTTAAAGAGTGATATACATAAAGTTGATTGTGAAAGAGATTGTCTTAGGTTTTACATCATGTTGAATTTGAGGGATGAAAATTATATTTAATTTTGTACACTAAAAATAGTGTTCGAGTGTGCATGGACACAGAGTAGGACATAGAGAGCTTTGTGGGACATCCCACCCATGTTATGGTGGACCTCTCTGTGATTATCAAATCCACTTCCTCTTGAAAAGAAGCTTGATGTACAAAGCGGAAGTATCTAAGTCCGGTAATGAATTTTCCTTTCTTTTTAATTTGGTAAAAATATGCATTAAAAATAGGCCAGTTCAACAATTTCTGCAAATAAGTGCAGTGACATTGATCAAACTCTCCAAATTGTGAAACCATTCTCATTTACCTTTCCTAAATTATCTTACCACCATGGATAGAAACTCAATGTCCACAAGTAAAACTCCTAGTCTTACTACTTTCCTGCACTGGCAACCATTTAATTTTTGTAGACTTTGTTTATTTCATGCCAAAGTTAGAGGATCTTGGCAAATTAGTTGCAGTTTCTGAAACTGAGTTTTCTTATCCCTAACACGGGGTACACAGGAGATTAAAACACTTCATGCCCAGCTGCTGACTGAAAGGTTGGAGGTTTAAATCCACCCAAAGAGACCTGAAAAGGGGATCCTGATGAGCTGCTTCTGAACCATCAGCTGCTTGAAGCTCTGTGAGCACAATTCTCCTCTGATATACATTGGGTCACTGTTGTTGTTGTTGTTATGTGCTGTTGAGTTGCATGCAACTCATAGCAACCCTGTGTACAACAGCCCTAAACCCTTCTCTGTCCCTTGCCAATCTTATTACCTCTATGCCCATTATCCCAGTAACTGAGTCAATCCATCTCATTGAGGGTCTTCCTCTCCTGCGCTATCCCTCCACCCTCCTAAACATGATGTCCCTCTCTAAGGACATCCCACCTTGCAATATGTTCAAAGTATATGTAAGATGAAGCTTCAGAATCCTTGTCTCCAAGGAGCAGCCTCGTTTAACCCTCTCCCGAATGAACCTGCTCGTTACGTCACTAGAAGTGAAATTGACTCAGTGACAATTAGTACCCTTATCATGAGAAAGACATTCCCCAGACACACGTGATTTGACATAAAGACTCCTGGAGGGAAGCATGTTGTGTGAACAGGAAGGAGTCTTGCATTTCCTGTAGCTTGCTCTTTGCTTCTGTTGATGAGGAAAATGTTGATAAGCGGTTGCCCTAGACCACAAAAGTCAGTGGCCTTTCCATTTTCATGGCCTTTGGGGAAATGATGCTATAGAATTTAATGTGTTACTTCTGCCAATATCTTCATCCAATTGCAGGTTTGAGAAGATGATCAGTGGCCTGTACATGGGGGAACTTGTCAGGCTTGTATTGCTGAAGATGACCCGGGCTGGCCTCCTCTTTGGTGGAAAGAAATCCTCTGCTCTCCTGACCAAGGACAAAATTGAGACACGGCATGTGGCTGCCATGGAGAAGTAAGCTGCTGACTGGGCCTCACCTGCCTTGATTCTGCAGTGCACTGGGGTGGGCAGCCAAGGTGGGGTCTGACTGGTGGTCATGACGCGAGATCTTCCCTCTTTATCAGGAGGATTTCAGACATGGGGGCAGCCTCAGGTGGCTTCCTCAGATGGCTTACTGTGTTCTGTCATGACTCAGGTGTGACATTCTTGGTTCCACCAGACAGGAGCTCTCTGTCACATGTCCATCCCTTCTTCTACTGTATTCTTCCTCCCTAGAGTGGTGACTTGTAACTTTTTTTTTGGGGGGGGGGTCAGAGACCCCTTTGAGAATATGATTTGAATTCTAGATCCTTTATCTCTCAAAATAGATGCCCACACATAATTGTTTACAATGTCAAGACTCACATAGGGGATCCTGTTATAGCAAGAGCCTCCACCACCTGTTCCTTTCAGGTACTGGTTTTACTTGGGTGATCCTAGTCCATTCACACAGCTTCTCAGAGATTGCCCTGGGTTCAGCAGTTAGTCGAGATTCTGAGCTCAGCAGGGTGGTGTGTGACACCCAAAGAGTGTCCTGTACAGGGCTGGATGGAGACAGGGTTGATGTGAGAGCAGTGTAGTTCAGGGTGCTTTAAAGCATGGGCTCAGATCCTGGCTTGAGCACTGTGACCACAGGTAACTTGCACAACCTCCCTGTGTCTCAAATCCCTCTCTGTACAGCAATGAGTTACATCACCTATGGATCGTTGTGGGGATTAAAAGACCTAACGTGCGTGACAACCTTAGACAAGTACCTGGTCCACAAGGAGTGTTCAAGGAATGGTGGCTGTTGTCACTGTGGACACTGATATTTATCATTACCATCCTTTTATTCCTGGGTGTCCGCCTGTTTATTTTCCCAAACTAGAGAGGCAAGCAACTGACCCCTCAAGAGATAGACGAGTGTAATCTCTTCATTCTTGTTCCCTGGACAGGTACAAAGTAGGCCTGGCCAACACCAGAGAGATCCTGACAGACCTGGGCCTGGAGCCAACCGAGGCCGACTGCATTGCAGTCCAGCACGTCTGCACCATCGTCTCCTTCCGCTCAGCCAACCTCTGTGCGGCCGCCCTGGCGGCCATCCTCACGCGCCTGCGGGAGAACAAGAAGCTGATGAGGATGCGGACCACGGTGGGCATGGACGGCACCCTCTACAAGACACACCCGCAGTAAGTGCTGCTTGGCAGCCCAGGCGCCACTGGGATGGAACCCCAGATATGCTGCTCACCTGGGCTGCAGGAACCAGCTTCCCCTCCCAGGCCCGTGGTTACCAGGGAAAGGGCAAATCCAGTGACTATACTTTCTAGTTTATTGAACTAATTTTGGAGATCTGTCTTAGTGACATACTATGCCAAAGCCTTTTGCCCAACAAACAAGGCTTTCCACCCATGTGTCTGTCATTCATCCATTAATGTACCTACCCAATACCTCTTGGAGTGGTGCTATATAGTTGTTGCTATGGGCCATCAAGCTGCAGCTGACTCAGAGTTAACCTTCTGAGATGTATTCAGAATCTATAAATTCATGACAGCAGATTGCCCGTCTTTCTCTAATAGAGCAGCTGGCAGATCCAAATGACTTGCCTTTGGACCCCAGCACACCACTCTGCATAGTTGTTTGTTTTTTTTTTAATTATTTTTGTGTAAGTGTACCGTCAAATCAGATCTGACTGGTACAGGAGGAGATTGTCCCTCCTTCCCCGGCAGAGCATCTGGTGGATTCGAACCATGCGCCTCTACGATTGTAGTTGCAGCTCCTTGCCACTAGGCCACCAACGCTCCCCCCTCTGCATAGTTGTGATGTGCTGCTGAGCTATGACTCATTGCAAGCCCATGGACGTAGATCTGAACCCTGCCCTATCCTGTGCTGTCCACTCCATCTCTGATATACTTGAGCCAGTTGTCACAGTCGCCCTTTTTGTGTCTTCCCCTCTTGCATTGACCTTCAACCTTTCCAAGCACTATGTCCTTCTTCAAGGACTGGCCCCTTCTAAAACCATGCCCAAAATATGTGAAATGACATTTCATTCTCCTTGCCTCTAAGGAGTGCCCTGTTTTCACTTTCTCTGGGATAGATCTGTTTATTCCTTTAGTTGTTGTTGTTGTTAGGTACCATCGAGTCAAGTACAACCTATAGCAACTCTAGGAACAACAGACCTGAACCCTGTCCCGTACCATCCTTGTCATCTCTGACACACTTGAGCCCATTGCTGTAGTCACCGTGTCAGTCCATCTTGCTGGAGGTCTTTCTTTCCTTTCCTTTCCTTTCTGAGGAATAGCCTTGCCTAGCTATACGTCCAAAGTATGAAAGATTAAGCTTTTGCGTCTTTGCCTTCAAGGAGGAGCACTCTGGCTGCACCTTCTCCAAGACATATTTGTTTATTCTTTTAGCAGTCTGTGGGATAGTCAGTACTCTTCTCCAACATCACATTTCAAAGGCATCAATTCTTCTGTCATCCGTATTCATTGTCAAGGTATCAGATGCCAGTGATTGAAAAGACTAGGTCCTGAATCAGGTGCACCTTAGTCTTAAACTGACATCATCCCTGTAACGTATTTTGGAGGCTTCCCTTACAGTGGACTTACCCAGTGCAATACGTCTGTTGATTTCCTGCCTGTTGGTACCAAGGGTGTTGATTGTTGATCCAAGCACGATTAATCTATGGAATATTCAGCACTCTTTTCCCAAACCACAACACAAAGGCATCAATTCTGACCCATAGCTGACCCTCCAGGGCATTTTCAGAAGCACTAAATTGCACAGGAGGAGATTGTCCATTCTTCTCCCACAGAGCAGCTAGTGGGTGTGAACCACGTGCTTTCGGATAGCAGCCCAGCTTCTTATCACTAATCCTGTGTGGAGTAGGACTGGAAAAGAAGACCCAGTCAGTAATACATGAGAAAGAGTAGGGATGACAGAGGGCCAAGTTTACATGAAAGCTCTTGGTAGGAAAGTACAGAAAAATGAGACCTTCAAGAAAGTCTGTCTGGCTAGTAGAGGCGGTACTGAAAGTTAGTGGGTAGACTTTGGGGAGAGCTTGGGAAAGACATTTTCTCACCTTTGGACAAGTGATGTTGTTCAACCAAAATGTTATATATGGCTATGTCCCATTGAGTGAAACAGTGATTAATTAAAATAGCCACTCTCCACTTGGTGTGTCATGTACCCCCATCTGCCCCTGCCCTTCTTACCCCCAGCAGTGGGAGCAGTGAGCCTGGCTCTGCAGGGGTTTCCAGGGTCCCTTTCCACAGCTACCTCTATGTCTGTTCCTAATGGCTAATCCTTTCTGATTGTTGAATGTTTTGATTGTTGCCTCTGTCTTCAGGTACCCAAAACGCCTGCACAAGGTGGTGAGGAGACTGGTCCCAAATTGTGACGTCCGCTTCCTCTTGTCTGAGAGTGGCAGCACCAAGGGAGCGGCCATGGTGACTGCAGTGGCTTCCCGCGTGCAGGCCCAGAGGAAGCAAATTGACAAGGTGCTGTCCCTCTTCCAGCTGACCCATGAGCACCTCCTTGGTTTGCGGGAGAAAATGAGGGTTGAGCTCGAGTATGGGCTGAAGAAGAAGACCCACCCGCTGGCCACTGTCAAGATGTTGCCCACCTATGTCTGCGGGATGCCCGATGGCACAGGTGCGCTTAGCCAGGTGCTTCCATGCAGGCCCTCACACAGCATAGAAACTCCTCACAGCTCTTAGGGGTTTTGTTTTTAGAACCTTAGATCTGAGTCTGTAATGGGGTGTCAGTACTCCTCTGAAACTGTTTGCTGTGGTTAAACCAGGATGTTTACAGTTAAAGAATATCTTAGTTTGGTTCTGAGTGTGTGTATGTATGTGAGTGTGTGTATATATATTTGTGTATGTACATGAGTGTGTGTGTGTGTGTGTGTGTGTGTGTGTGTGAGAGAGAGAGAGAGAGAGAGAGAGAGTATATAATCTGGGTGCATGCATGTCTATTAATTGAGAGCATGCTGTTGTTGCTGTTTTAGGTTTGGTTCCATCGAGTCAGCTATGACTCATAGCGACCCTGTGAACGACAGATCTGAAACTTGCTATGCTATGCCGTCCTCATCATCCCTGAGGTCCTCAAGCCCATTGTCATAGTCCCTGTGTCAGTCCATCTGGTTGAGGATCTTCCTTCTTTCTCTGACCCTCCGCCTTTCCCATCATAATGTTCTTTTCCATGAATACCCAATGCTATCAGCAAAGAGAATGCCTGCCCCCTGACCTGGGGAAGCTTTCCATGTGGGAGCTGCCTAGACTTTGACCTGACTTCTCAGTCTGCTTTCTTCTAACACTTGGCTCCCCTGTCTCCTTTCATCACTTTACTCTGTGACTTTTCTAACCCTTTATCATTTGCTAATCTCTTTGTGTCTAGGCAAGAGAAGCTACTAATTAATTAAGCCAATTCTTTGGACAAATTATTTCCTTTTATTTTTACTAGCCTTATTTGAAAATACTGATAAGTAAAAGTTATTTGTCAGTATATATTATTAAGGAGGATGATTTGCATGTTGCTGATTATTTTAGAACGTAGGTCTGCATGTACTTGCTTGGTTTTCGTTTTCTCTTATTCGTATAGCACTTGTCTGTCAGTTTGCTGTACTGGGGTTACTTGTGGGTTGTTGCAATGCTGGAAGCTATGCCACCAGTGTGTCTAAATGTCAGAGGAGTCATTCATGATGAACAGGTTTCAGCAGAGCCCCCAGATTAAAAAAGATTAGGAAGCAGGCTTGGCCATCCACTTGGCCACTTCTGAAAGAGCAGGTCTCTGAAAATCCTATGAATAGAGGAATACAGGTAGTTACAGTATTAGAGGTAGAGCCCAGTTTGGAAGTCAGTAAAAATGAAGAGAAACAGCTGCATACATCCTTTAAAGGTGAAGGGTGGAGTATTGGAGCCGCCGCAAGCTGTTTGGGACTGCTGCTCTTTGGATATCTACATTTCCATCTGTGTGCTTATCAACAGTTTTGATTCATCATGAATAATCTCTCAGCAGAAGAAATCCAGCAGCGGGCTCATCAGGTTACTGATGAGTCTCTGGAAAGTACAAGGAGAATGCTAAGTTTAGCTATTGAGTCTCAGGATACAGGAATCAAGACCATCACTATGCTTGATGAACAAGGGGAACAATTAAACCGAATAGAAGAGGGTATGGACCAAATAAATAAAGACATGAGAGAAGCAGAGAAGACTTTAACAGAACTCAGCAAGTGCTGTGGCCTTTGTGTCTGCCCATGTAATAGGACAAAGAATTTTGAATCTGGTAAGGCCTATAAGACAGCATGGGGAGAAGGTGGAGACAAATCACCTAACAATGTAGTATCTAAACAGCCAAGACGGGTGACAAATGGCCAGCCTCAGCAAGCAGCTACGGGAGCCAGCGGTGGATACATTAAACGTATAACTAATGATGCTAGAGAAGATGAAATGGAAGAGAACTTGACTCAAGTGGGCAGTATCCTGGGAAATCTAAAAAGTATGGCCCTGGACATGGGCAATGAGATTGAGGCTCAAAATCGACAAATAGAGCAGATCACAAAGAAGGCTGACACCAACAAAGATCGTATTGATGTTGCCAACACCAGAGCAAAGAAACTCATTGACAGCTAAAGCTACTGTTGTACTTTATCATTTTTTTGCTTCCCTCACTCCTCCTTCAGAATCATTACCTTTACAGAGTTTGGAATTTTGGTCAAACTCTCTTTTAAGCAGTTTGGAAGAAAGGCCATAGTAAAAGCTCCCTTATTTTTCTCACTTTAAAAAAAAAAAAAAAGGTGAAGGGTGGGCAAAAGAGAGGAAACCCCTCAACCAGATGGAATGACACAGTGACTGCTGCAATGCCCTTGAGTATATCAGAAATGATGAAGATGGCACAGGACAGGATAAAGTTCCATTTGGAAATAATAACCTTTGTCAAGTCCTTTACATTTCATATTTTCCTTGTGAACCTTTAAATTCCTCACCAGCAGTTTGTAGATGAGGTAAGGAGAGAATAATTCTCATTTCACAGATGGCAAAACTAAGACTCTATAAGGTTAGATGACGTATTCATGGCCACATAGTTGAACTTGGCTCTCTCTCTTTTCCCCCCTTTTTTAATTATATCTCTCTCTCTTTCTTTAATGAAAGTTTACAGAGACTTTAGATTTCCATTCATTCATTGTTGCCCACTTTCCTCCCTACCTGCCCCTCCCCCCAATCACTTTTCTCTTTGAAAAGTAAAAAAATTTAAAAAAAAGTAAAAAATTCTTTCATTTCCCTCCTGCCTCCCAGTCAACTCCACTGTGCAGCTTTCATTCTGGACTCTTGTCATGACAATAATACCTAATCATATATTCCTCCTAAACAGTTCTCTCCCCCATCTATTTCAATGCAGTTTACATTATTTATCCCCTCTTAGTTTCCCTCCAACCCCCATGTCAGTCCTGCTTTACAACAGTGGCACTATGCAGTTATTTGTCCTTTTGTGACTGAGATATTTCATTCAGCATAATATCCTCCAGGGCCACCCATTTTGTATAATATATGAGTTCCTTGTTTTTCCAAAGCTGTATAGTATTCTATTGTGTGAATATACCACAGCTTCTCTGTCCATTCTTTCGTTGGTGGGCACTTGGGTTGTTTCCAAATCTTTGCTATTGTGAACAAAGCAGCAATAAATATGAGTGTGCGTATATCTGCTTGGGTGGCAGTTCTAGTTTCTTTAGGGTATATTCCCAGTAGTGGAATTGCTGGGTTAAATGGTATTTCTATTTCCAACTTTTTGAGAAAGCGCCATACTGCCTCCCATAGTGGTTACATCATTTTACACTCTCACAAACAATGAATAAATGTTCCAGTTTCTCTGCAACCTCACCAGCATTTGTTGTTTGCTGTTCTATTAAATTTTGCTATTCTTACTGGGGTGAAATAATATCTCATAGTTGTTTTGATTTGCATCTCTCTTGAACATTTCTTCATGTGTTTGTTTGCCATCTGAATGTCTTCTTTGGTGAAGTGTCTGTTCATATCCTGTGCCCATTTCAGTTGGATTGATTACCTTTATCTTGATGTGGTGTTCAAGTATTTTATAAATTCTAGATATAAGTCCCTTATCTGACATATCATTACCAAACACTTTTTCCCAGTCTGTGGCTTCCCTTTTTACCCTGTTGGAGAAGTTTTGGGATGTGCATAGGGATTTGATTCTTAGAAGGTCTCATTCATCTATTTTATCCTCTCCTGGTTGTAGGTTTTTCAGGATGCTTGGAAGACTTTATGTTGTGAATTAGGGCTTCTAGAGTTCTTCCAAGCTTTTCTTTAATGAAGTTTATAGTACTTTGTTTTAGTCCTAGGTGAACTTGGCTCTCTAAACAACAAAAGTCTCTAAGATATTTCCCAGAGAAGATGTTTCTTGTATGCACATGCGGTAAAACCTGAGAACAGTGAAAGACCCTTTAATTGTTCTTCTCTTTCTTCCCTTGAGCCCTCCATCCTTCACTCCTCACTGTTTCATTGTGCACTTCTGTGTGTTGGGCCCTGGTCCAGACACTGGAGGTCCAGCAGTGAGAAACACAGTCCTTGTCCTTGTAGAACTCACAGTTGGATGACCAGCAATTAAATAAATGTAAATGCTATAGCTTGTTAGTCAGTGACAATGCTATCAAGAGAAATAGAGCCGGGAAGTGGTTGCAAAGATATTTGAGAGTGATGTCTGACAAATTTAAGGACTAGTGATAAAAAAGAGCGGTGTGGCCAGAGTGAATAAGAAAATTCAAGAGAGCAGACAGTGGTGCTGTGAGAAGTCATAGGTGTGAGCCCACTGCCCAGAGGTCCCCTGCACCGTTGAGCAGGTAGGACTTGATCCGGTTCCTCATTAGACAGGTAGAGATGTGGGAATCAGGGGAAGGGGAAAGGGAGACAGGATAAGTCCTTGTACGTGGGTGGGGATCAGTGGTTGTACAGGTGAGGTGGAAACACCTGGAGTCAAGCTGCAGACAGGTAACTTGGCCCCGATTTACTTCCAGAAGCTTCATGGGCAGGAGTGTCCTATGCATCCTCTAACATACCCCCTGCACCCAGGACACAGCTCTGAACCCCACACCCACAGCTCTATTACTTGCAGCTGCCTGTAAGGATGTCCTTGCATGGATTTTAGAGCCAGAATAAACTTCAGAGGAGCTTTAAAAAGAAAAGCTGCCTTAGGGTTGGTTCTGACTCCTGGGAGCCCTACACTTGTGAGGGTAAAACTGCTCCATTAGATTTCTAGGGTCTCGTTTTTGGGAAATAGTCACATCTTTCTTTTAATGTGCCTCTGGATAAACTCAAACCTCTAACCTTTTCGTGAGATGCCAAACCCTTTAACGGTTTGCACCACTCAAGAACTCCCTCCGCTTTACTTTGCAGATGTGAAAAATGGGACCTGTATGCTCTTGCTCAAAATAAATAACTCATTTCTCAGAACTGCCTTGTCCCCTAATTCCATCCTGGATCTCTTTTACTTCCTTCACTGGAATAGATTATGTAATGTGTAGACCTTTGCTGCATGACAAGAGGAGGCCAAGAAACCCAGACAAGTTCAGGTGCCTTCTATTGCCTGGATGCTACGCATGGTAACGGCCATGCCCCTTCGGTCCATAAGTCACAGGAGGCAGGCCATGGTCAGCCCCTTTCCAACACATCCTCTTCCTCCCGATGCCTTCACACAAGTGGCCATTTAGTATATATTGATGAGATGCGGCTTTGATTTTTTTGTCACAGAGAAAGGCAAGTTCCTGGCCCTGGATCTGGGAGGAACCAACTTCCGTGTCCTCCTGGTGAAGATCAGAAGAGGGCGAAAGTCAGTGCGCATGTATAACAAGATCTTTGCCATTCCCCTGGAGATCATGCAGGGCACTGGCGAGGAGGTAACTGCCAGGCATGGGTGTGGGACTTTCTTTGCTTTGTGGGGGCCAACCTGCTTCCAGGCACAGAGATGGTCAGGTGTATTGCTCTCTCCCTACAGCTATTTGACCACATTGTGCAGTGTATTGCTGACTTCCTGGAATACATGGGCCTTAAAGGAGCCCAGCTACCCCTGGGTTTCACATTCTCCTTTCCCTGCAGACAGACAGGCATTGACAAGGTAAGAGTCCATCCAGGCTGGTGGGCATCTCTCCTCCAGGGGACCTCAAGGTCATTGTCTATGTTATCTCCAAGTCAGTATTCATTTTTTTTTCTGCTGTTGTTGTTGTTGTTGTTGAGTACCCTCAAGTTAGAGCCATCCCATAGCTGACCTGCCAGTGGATGGATCTTCAGAGATAGTAAATCACACAGGAGGAGATTATACATCCTTCTTCTGTGGAGCAGCTGGTGGATTCGAACAATATGACTTCAGGATTGTAGTGCAACTTCTTACCACTAGGCCACCAGAGCTCTAGGAGTCAAGGTTCAAGGAAGTTGGGAAAATAGAATAGAGAATGGTTTGTTTTTTTAAAATAATATACTACACTTTCTTTTTCATGATAATTTTCTAGAGTAAAACTCCCAGAAGAGTTTAGAGTCATATACAAGAGAGACATGCGTCCTTTTATAAGGTTGATCATGCATTTTGTGGAGAGATAGAGATAAAGAATTATCTCTACTGTTGGGCATCGATGTTGCCTATCCATTCCTTGACAGTGGCCGCAAATGGGGTTGTAAGATTTTTATTGTCTGCTGAAAGCGAGCTTATCATTTCCTCACAGGATTTAGAATCCCAGGAGGAATTTGCCATGTAGGCATGTATTCAGTTGTCACTGAAGAACAGCGTGGGTAATAACTTAGATAACAATAATTCAACAAGATATTGTAAACAAAAATATCATTAAAGTGTTTCAAAGTCTTTCTTGGAATTCTTGGATAATAAAAACATATCATTTTATCCAGGGACTAATTTATATTTAATGAGTGAAGAGGTTTGGGTTTTATTTTTTATTTTTAAATTAACAAACTTGAACTCTAGTAGGCCAGCTTATGTAGTTTACTTTCTTTTCTTCAGTAATCTGTTTTGACCAAGGAGAAGAGTTTAAAAAGTGAAAAATAAGATACTGAGATATTCTCTTAGATTACCCCAGATTTCCAGTCTCTCACAGGGGACTCTACAGAAAATGAATTGCAGGTGATTTGGGTGAGGGCCGGGCCAGGCCATCTGTGCAGTAGTCTGAGGGAGAAGGAGTGCAATGTTTGTGACAAAGTATGAGAAACATTTTGTGATGTTTGATATGTATGGTATCAATGTATGATATCATATGTATGGTAACATTTATTACTCTCTTACAGAGTGATTTTTTTTGTGTTTGCTCACATTTCCTTTAGGCTATACAAGAAATCCATATTGTTGGAATTATAGAATGTGTCTAATTCTATTTTAATTGTGGAACAATGCTTTGATGAACATTTTGTAGCTTTCTTTTTACTCATTTAATTCTGTCCTGAGCTAAATGAGAAGTGGGATGGATCACCAGGAATGCATTCTATGCAGTCATGACCAGAGAGCGTGGTGTGACCTTTGATAAATATGAATTGCTGTAATTAATCCACTCAGCTGTACACATTATCTGAACATCATGCTCTGTGAAGCCCTCACGTTCAGTCTTGGGCAACAACGATGGACTCACTGTCAGAAGCACGTGAAACGATAATGCCTTGTGCAATTGTCTCAGAAAATTATTGCTCAGATGACATTTCCCCACCCTTTTTTTCAGGGAAAACTTATAGAGTGGACCAAAGGCTTCAAGGCCACTGACTGTGAAAACGAAGATGTAGTGGATATGCTCAGGGAAGCCATCAAGAGGAGAAATGTATGATGTGGGAACATAGCCCTGAATCTAGAGCTGGTGCTTCTGAGTATCACATGTCTTCCCAAGGGACAGGTTCCTTCTGACTTAATTTGATGCTATTTCCACTAGGGGCTTATAGTTTGGGGCTGAGAATTTGGTAACCTCTATTCTTCTGGGGATAAAGAAGGGGTCACTAACAGTGGGTAGGAGTTCTGGTTCTTGACCATTATGGCATGTCCCACCAGTGGAGCTCTCTGCTCCGCCATGCTGTGCTAAGTCCCTTCAGGTTGATAAGTTCCATCTTAGCCGTCTTGGCTATCACATTCTACTTTAAGGAAAGATGTTCCCTTTGCAGGAATTTGACCTGGACATAGTTGCAGTGGTGAATGACACAGTGGGGACCATGATGAACTGCAGCTATGAAGATCCTAATTGTGAGATTGGTCTAATTGCAGGTAATTGATGAGGCATATCCTACTGACCTGATTCCGTATGGTTCTTTGGAGATTTTCTTTTCACATAGTGAGGGACAGCGGACCAGCATCCCATTATAAAGAGGCTTTTTTGGTCAGTTTTGTTCAGGGTAGACAAGAAGTTAAGATAGTGGTTCCAGATCCATAATTCCTAAATCTTTACTTAATGCCTTTCTTTGTTGAAAGCTTGTGCTCAGATCATCTTTTCTTTTGAGAAGGAAAATAATATAAAAGAAGGAGATTTTCAAATTAGGACCTTGGGGCAGGTTGACTGGGAAGAAGGAAGCCATAGTTAACATTTGATTAGTAGAAGACAACAACTTGTATCATGTTTGCCTGAGGTTGAATGAGCTAGATTTTCATTTTTGGCTCCCATATGGGCCTCTTCTGTTCCACTGAATTCTTCTGGCTCTTAGGGCTCAAAGAAGGGGAAGAGCTGGAAATAAATTCAAGAGAGGGAAGAGAAATAGTCTGACATGATAGAAAGGTTTTAAGGGTCTTTGGGGGGAAGTTGGCAATGATTAAGGCCAAAAGTTAATTCTAGGTGAATGCTTCTCTTTAAAAGGTGGAGTAGGTGAGCTCTGGTGGCCTAGTGGCAGGAAGCTGCACTGCAATCCCAGAGGTGCGTGGTTCAAATCCACCAGATGCTCTGCTGAAGAAGGAGGAACAATGGCCTCCTGTACCAGTCAGATCCAATTTGATGGTACACACATAAAAAAAAAAAAGGTGGAGTAGCAGTGCAATTTGACCAAGTGGAGATGGAGGCAAAGTGCATCCCAGGTGATGGAATATGTTATGGAATGACAGAAACCTGTCCCAATTGGTTATCTGTGCTTTCTAGCAATGAGTAGTGGGTGGAACAAGGGGATGAGATTTACTGAGATGACTCCAATGTCATCTCACTAGAATCCTATTTTGCAAGTCTGATCTTTTTCCCCCATTCTTTATTTTTTTAAAATTATTTGATGGAAGTTTCACAAAGCAAAAGAATGTTTTACTCAATCATTCGTACACATTTTGTACCTTTATGGGATTGACTTATTTCACATAGCCTGATATCCTCCAGATGAATTTATGTGATGCAGTGTTTTGTGGATTCTTCGTTGTCTTTTAGTGCTGCATAGTACTCGATAGCATGGGTATACTGTAGTTTAATTTAAAATTGCCTTGACTTCCTCTCCTTTTAGAAGTTCCTCAACTACATGTCTTATTACTCTTTTTTTTTCTAATTTTTTTGTGTGTGCCATCAAATCGGATCTGACCAGAACAGGAGGAGATTTCCTCTCCTACAGCAGAGCATCTGGTGGATTTGAACCGCCTGCCTCTAGGATTGTAGTGCAGCTTCTTGCCACTAGGCCACCAGAGTCTTAGTCCTTCTTTCTGCATTTAATTATCTTCCTTTTCAGATCTGGTTCCCTGCTGTTAGTCTCATAAGTTTATTTTACTTTGTGCATTTGTTTATGATATTCTTGGTGTTTTTATTTCGTGACTTTTCCTCTTGTGGGATTTGGTTAGCATCTTTTTTTAAATTTTTTTATTATTTTTATTATTATTTTTGTGTGTCTGTGTACTGTCAAATCAGATCTGACTGGTACAGGAGGAGATTGTCCCTCCTTTCCCGGCAGAGCATCTGGTGGATTCGAACCATGTGCTCTGGGATTACAGTGCAGCTTCTTGCCACTAGGCCACCAGAGCTCCCCTTGGTTAGCATCTTAAATGCATATTTTTTTCCATAATATTTTTAAAATTTTCTTCTAGCAAATTTCCTTCAATTTCCTCTGTGCTTTTTTTAAAAAAAAAGAAAAATCCTCTTCTTTTCCTCATCACAGAGAAGTTATTTCTCTTAATGTTACTTCACCTAATTCTTATGCTTTCTTTCCTTCCTGCACCAATTTGTTTTTCTAATAGATTAGTGTTGAAAGTTGTTTTTTAATTAAATTAAAATTTGTTGAAACTTGTCTAACTAATTGCATTCTATTTCTCCCATTTTTCTTTTCCCCTTCCAATGTGTTGTTTATTCCTGAATGTCAATTTTAATATTTTTGGATTTTAATTTGTTAGTTTTTAATGTCTTCTAATTTTCCATTTATTTTATCTTTTGGTCTTGCATAAGTTCTTGAATTGTTCTATGTTTTCTGTGCTTTTCTCAATTTGTACAAGATATTTACTCCTTTCTTAAAATTCCTGAAGAGTAAATTCCAGTAGCTTTTCTTGTTCTGAAATATTTCTCTGGTTCTGTATTTTGGTCACAGTTTTGTTCCAATTTGTCCTGTTATAATTATTTTTAAAATAAACTGATATAACGTTATCTGTGGCCTCAGACATTGTGGTGTTACTGTCGTTATTCCTTTTGATATATCTCATTGAGTCATGCAATTATGTTCTGCTGCTTGTGAATTTGATAATTCCTAGTGTTTCACTTTCTGTCTCGGGGGACCTAGTGGAGGATGTGCAGTTTATTGTTTGATGCTTGAGTAAGGCAGTTGAGGGGAGACTGGACCAAGGTTGGCTGCAGTCTTTTAGTCGGTAAGGTACTGCTGTTTGTTTCTCTTACGCGAAGCTGCAGGAGGTATATGTATGGCTGAATATTGTTGCTGTTTCCAAATGGGACAAAGAAAAGGGGAAACTAAAGAAAATAGCAAAAGACAACTAAAAAAACATTGAATTGTAAAAGAAAAACCAAAACTGGCAGAATAAGAAAAGGAATGAGTATGAGACTACATGAGCTCTAGTGGCCTCTAGTGGTAAGTAGCTGCACTGTCAACACAAAGGCATCCGGTTCAAATCCCCCAGCAGCTCTGTGGGACAGAGGGGCAGTCTCTTCTCATTTGATTTACAGCCTAAAAAAAACCCACAAGAAGGTCAGCTATGAGTCAATTTCGACTCAATTACAGACAACAATAACATCATCAAAATAGAGCGGCCAAAAAGAGGATAAACACTAGCAAAGGAAAGAAAAAAAGCTAGAGAGGAGAAAGCGGAAGAAATGAGAAAAAGCAAACCATAAAGGGGGTTGGGAGCCAAAACCACAAGAGCAAAATAAATAAAAGCAAACAAAAGTCCAAAAAGCAACGGGAAATTAAAAACGAGAGAGGAAAAAAAAAGAAGGACCTTGGAGGAAGGTGGGCAGGGCATCTGATTGGAGGTCTTCCCGGCTGTTGTGATGGCAGCAAGGTGTAGGGTCTGGAATAGTTTGTCCATTTAGCAGAACTTTGAGGTTAGGACACCCAGTCAGGTCAGGGTTTGTGCTCATGTGAGAGGTGGCTGAGGCCCAGGCCAAACACGGCAGCTCTTCGGGTCTGGAGGTGTTGAGGATTGGGGGACCCAGCCAAGGACAGAGTTGCAGGCCTTACAGGTGGTGGTCTGCCTGGCTAGGGGTGTTTGCCCGTCCAGGGCATGGATGCAGGCAGGTACCTAGAGAGAGATGGCTAACATGGAGAGGCAATCACACTCAGTGTGAGATGCCCAAGGATGGTGTACTCTGTGAAGAAGTATGAACTGCCCCAGCGGTAACTGTGGTGTGTGGTGAGTGAGGTATCCCCAGTTATGCCCAATAAGGGGTCAAGATCTAACCCGAGATGGCGCTCCCACCAATCTAGGGTTGACTGAAGGAGTGACTTCTGAATGTAGTCCTTGTACACACTCCTGGCACCAGATTCAAAATGGCCAGAGCCTCACTTCAGGGAGAGGTGGGAAAGGCTGAGAGAGGACGGTGTGGGTGAGGAAGGAAGTCACTTTCTTGATCCTGGGAGGGTATGGGGAACAACGGAGAAGATTTTTTAGCCTTTTTGTGCCATCAGCCAGCTGTTGGTATGGATGCTGTATAGTCTTGAGTTTCTGAGTTGACCAGATAGCTATTCAAAATGGCTTCACCATGTGAGTTATAATGTTCCATCAATGTCCTTAGTTTGTCCTCATTTGATTTTGATGTTTTTTCCCTTCAGTCAGTGTTTGAACTACTTTACCTTTTCTTTTAAACTCAAGGTTCCAGAATAATCTTCATTATCTATTATGTTTGTTTTTCTCGTGTTTCTGTGAGAGTCTAGACTCCTTCTGGCCTAGTCTTACCTGGAAGGTCACCCCATCTCACTATAATTCTTATTGCAGATTACTTATTCTAAATTTGAGTCTGCTCATCTGTGGGAGGAACTGGTCTAGATTTAGAAAGTTAAAGAAGTGATTCCTGTTTGAATAGAATAGTTGCCTAGATGGTTGTGTTGACAATGTTTCTGAGGTCTAAGCAAAAAAGAGTGGCTCACACATGTCAGGTATTTGCTGAACCTAGACAACATGACTTCTCGTTGTTCCTTCTTTTCAGATTGCTAACTCATTGATTATTTGCAAGTCTACTTTGTGTCTATAACATAACAATAATAATAATAATAGCATCAAGTACAATTTATTTGCTATGTAAAGGAACCTTATAAATATTGTGTCATTTTCCCTCCTCGTAATAAATCTGTAAGGAATGGAATCTGTAATTGATTCAGTTTTACAGATGAAAAAAAAATATGAGCTTCTGAAGGGTGAGGGTACTTTCCTAAGATCACCTCGGCTGAAATTCACACTCAATTGTATCTGACTATTAACCTAAATTCTTAGACATCACACACAATTGCCTTTCTCAGACCAGGTGATATTTTTCAACAACTAAATTCCTTTATGTTCCCTTCTAGGAACAGGCAGCAACGTGTGCTACATGGAGGAGATGAAGAACATTGAGCTGGTGGAAGAGAATGACGGGAAGATGTGCATAAACACGGAGTGGGGGGGATTCGGAGATAATGGCTGCATAGATGATATCCGGACCCAATATGACAAGGAGGTCGATGAAGGGTCCCTGAACCCTGGAAAACAAAGGTGAAAAGAAAATAGGTGTGCACGAATGTAGGTTGTGCAGGACACAACTTGACCAGAGCCATTTTCATTTGATAGCGAGCTTTGGTGGCCTAGAGGTGAGAAGCTGCACTGTAATCCCCAAGGCATGCAGTTCTAATCTACCAGCTGCTCTGCAGGAGAAGGGTAGGAAATCTCCTACCATGTAATTGTCTGCCTCTAAAAAGCTGCTGGAGAGTCAGCCATGAATTGATTCCAACCCGACGGAACACAACAACTACAACAACATAGCTTTGATACTTATTATTATTCTCCATCAAACAAAAATTATATAATTTGATAGCATATTAATGAAAAAGCAACATATTATGACAATTTTCCAAAAGGTAGAAGGAGTATCTCCCTTTTTCTAATCTAAGCAAGTTACTGTGTAATCTAATGAGGTGAGGCCAGCAGGAACGTCCAGTTGCTATGAACTGGCTTTCATAGCGCAGAGGCAACTTCCTGCCACTAGGCCACCTGAACGCCCCCATTCTGAGCTTTTAAGAGTATAATCCAGAAGTCTTTCAAGTTGACATTGAGGAGAGCACATTTTGCTCAGCTCTGCACACTAATGATCACTGTTACTACTAACAATGTCGTCATTGTCGCACATACCTGTGCAAAGAGGTCTCAGTATCAAAGTCCCTGTGCCCCTTGCTTCTTGCCTTCATGGACTTCACTACCTGAAGAAATCCAGATAGAAAGGGAAAAGGGACTTAGCATTCCTTTAGCCCGCTAGTGCATGCAGACAGTTAAAATTATCTCATGGAGCACCACTACTGGTGAAACAGATTTCCTCAAATACAGAGCCAGGGAGAATCAGGTCTGGGACCAGAAGAGAAACTATTGTTGGTTTCATGTCTTCTGTGTGCCAGATACTTTGCTCTTAAAGGTCTTGCATGGTCAGTGTTTTGTGTATTTTACTGATGATAGTTTATAGCACAGGCTCCAAGCCATCCAGTTAATCTGTGCAGTGCTGGGGCCTGGCTCCAGGTGGCAACCTCTGTGAGGTCTGGCTCCAGAGTGTGGTCTTCCTCACCACATCATGCTGTCTTCTGCATATGTTCTTCTCCAGGTCTGGTCTGATGCTTGAGGCAGCCTCCTTAGGCCTACCTGAACCAGTCAGCTGCCTTCCACATTCTGCCAGTCCTTTCTCCAGCTCTCTTTTTCCTGCTTTCAGTAACCTATTCCTTTCCCCAAACAGGTATGAGAAAATGACAAGTGGGATGTACCTGGGGGAGATAGTACGACAGATCCTGATCGACCTGACCAAGCAGGGTCTTCTCTTCCGAGGGCAGATTTCGGAGCGTCTCCGGACAAGGGGCATCTTCGAAACCAAATACCTGTCCCAGATTGAAAGGTGATGTTTGATCAAGTTCACTTTTTCCTTGGGAGAAGCTCTGGTTGGGATAAGCTGCTCTGTCAAGAAGGTTTAAGATTCAGAAATTAAAATGGAACAGCCCTAGGAGCTGCAGGTTGTGTCCTGGGCTGTTTTCTGTATCTGGTCTCTCTCTGTTTCTGCAGTGCAGGATCACCAGGGCACACACAGGAAGGGGACTACACACTGCCTGGGGCCTCAGAGCACCCAGCAGGATGACTCAGTCCTCACTGAGTACCTCCATCTACAGTGAGTTAGCTTAGGACCGCCATCCTCTTTTGTTTCAAATAAATGATTGATTGCATGTCTGTAATAGGAAATAATTTTTTTGGGGAGGGTGAATCACCCATTTGCCTAATACCAACTCTTGTTATTTTTGTGTATTCTCTTTCAGTCTATCAATGTATGTTGTTGTGTACTGTCGAGTCAGAAGCGACCTATGGCTGACCTTTCAGTGGGTTTTCAAGGCAATTAATTGCACGGGAGGAGATTGTCCGTCATTCTCCTGTGGAGAAGCTGGTGAATTAGAACCGTGTGCCTTCGGGATTGTAGTGCATCTTCTTGCCACTAGGCCCCAGAGCATGCAGATATTTTTTTTCTTTGGGGTTTTTTGTTGAAGAAGCTATTATATATCCTACACAGTTTCTATATTCTGAATTTTGCTAGTTGGATCATTTGCCATTTTCCTGTGTCCTTTGTATTTTCTGTAAACAAAATAGAGACCAAGATACTTGAGTAAAGTTGGTTGACAGTGGAACAGCAGTACCTCATAGGTGACACTGGGTGTGTCTGCGTGCCTGATTCTCTCCCTCTCTCTCTCATGACACTGGCAGTCATTGATGCTCACTGTCCAAGTCTATTAGGCATTGCATTACTCTTCATTGAGTGATCATTGATTAAGTCATTCACGCACATTGCTCAGATTGCTGTTGTTGTGTATTGGTATAAACTCATAGCTGACTCTCCAGTGGGTTTTTAGAAGCAGTAAATCACGTGGGAGGAGAATGCCCATCTTTTTCCCACAGAGCACTTACCTTTGGGATCGCAACACCTTTCCTTACCACCCAGTCACCAGAGCTCCCTCACTAGGAATTGCACAATGGTGATGACCTAATTCTATTATTCTTTTGGTACTTACTAGCTGAAATACTTCTGGAAAGAGAAATTTCCCATATCAAATGTTTAATTACTATTTTAAGTGGCTGAAAAAAATATTATCTTGCTATGCTATAATTTACTAAATTTTTCCTTTAGTGTAAGAAGTGTAGCTTATAATTTATAGATTCTTAGTAGCACCATGATTATTATTTATGTACATATAGTCATTTGCATCTTGTTATTTTCTTAAGGGAAGCAGAATTTTATTAAAAGACATAGATTCCCTTATGAACACACTATTTTGTAAAAGTTAGTTCCAGTTCAGCAGTCACATGCAGTTTAAAAAAGTGGTTGCAGCCAGTAGGAAAAGCACTGAGGTGGGAAATTTCACTTCATTCTTTCCATTAATTCATTGCTTTTGCTATGAGCACTGGATGCTATCAGAGACTTGGTTTAGAATTTTTCTCACTTTACATCTATTAATGGAATTCTCTGAGTCTTTATAGGCAGATACTAGCAAGTAAAAAATCGCTTTGTGGAAGGAAAAACAAAATCACATCCTGAGCTAAGCAGTGCACTTACTGATGGGGGTCCAGTGAGACCTTCTCACTCTCTAAGGAGAGGGTGACAGGATTGATAACAGCAGAAGTGACTTTGTGTTTTGGAAATAGTGATTTCAGCTTTTGGTTTCCTTTTTCTGTTTGCTCCATCAGATCCCAAAACAAAAGTTTTATCCTCTTGGAGTTTCTTGTTTGTTTGTTTTTGCTTGGGAAACACTTTGGTCCCTTGTCTCCCACAGGGAAACAGATTGGCTTATCCTCACCTTCCCTTCCTTTGTCCTGAACACAAACACTTTTGTCCCTGGACCCAGTTTAAGGGGGACAGTTTCCATCTACGTCCTTGAATATTTTCTTCTGGTACACAAGAAATAATCCATTTTGCATATTTTGGCTTCTATAGTTAAAAAAATGAATCCTATAGAATGAAAAGGAATTAATTTGTGCCTGGTGGACATTGTTAGGTGCGATGGTGACACAGTCCATTTCAGAGTTTGTTGTCACTTAAGGGCTGTGATTCTTAGGGCAAGAGTCGTGGGCTTAAGTTCCTCTCTGCCTCTGACCTGAGACAGACAGGTCTCTTCACCAGTCTGGACCCCACTCTCCTGGGTGTGACAAACAATTGCTCTGCTGTTTTACCTCGAGGATTGCTCTAAGAATGGAGCAAGGTGATGCACATGTAAGAACTTGCTGAGCTGGGAAGGTCTAGACTCTGGATGGAATTGCATGTTTCTTTTTATACACACACAGAAAAATACACCTTATTTTCTTTCCTAACACTTTTAAGTTTGCAGAAAAATTGCACAGAAAGTCCGGAGAATTTCCATATGCCCCCACCTCCCCCTGCACACACTGCCTTCTGTTATTAGCATCTTGCTTTAGTACGGTGCATTTGTTACAGCTGTGAAACAACAGAAGTCCCTGGTTTACATCAGGGTTCTTTGTATTGGACAGTCCTGTGCATGTCATTACTGACAGATATATAGAATGGTTACAGTGCCCTCAAAATGTCCAGTGCCCCACCTATTTTTCCCTCCCCTCCAAACCTCTGGTAACCACTGATATTTTTACTGTCTCAGTGGTTTTTCCATTTTCATACTTGGAAATTTGTAGTATGTAGCTTTTGCAGACTGACTTCTTTTCCATTTATACTCTTCCATGTCTTTCCTCGCTAGAAAGTTCATTTATTTTTATTGTTGAGTGATACTCTGTTGACCTAGAGCATAGGAGTTGTGCTGCCAATTCAAAGGCACGTGGTTTGAATCCACCAGCAGCTTCATGAAAGAAAGAGGAGCAGTCCCCTCTCCTGAAAACTCCCTGGGAGGTCTCCTGGGAGTCAGTTCCAACTCAATGGCATATAATGACAGCAATACTCAATCTTATGGCTGTTCCACAGTTTAAAATTAACCTATTGAAGGGCTTTTTTTTTTAAGGGCTTTTTATTTTAATATACAGAATATATTTTGTTCCTCTGGAAATTTTCCAGCTAAAAAATGCAGGAAAAATAATAAATTATTGCCATTTAGAACCCTAGTGAAATAATAGGGAGCTTTGGTGACCTAGTGGGCAAGGAGTTGTGCGGCCAATCCAAAAGCAGGCAGTTCACCAGCTGCTCTTCAAGAGAAAGATGGGCAATGTCCTCCCATGTGGCAGAGAGCCTCTGAAAACCTACTGGAGGGTCAGCTATGAGTCAGTTCCAACTTGATGACAATGAATTGTTGTTATGAGTGAAATAATGGAAATCTGGTTAGTTCATAGGGAGGTGCCCGGCTGACCCAAACGGGTCATCTCGTGGTTCAAATCCCTGAGGCTGTTGCACCATTGCTCTCCCAGTAATACTTTTCTTTCTTAACTGTTATCAGAAACAATTATATCATGCATATAATTTTACATTGCTTACCTTGCGAGTCAGAATTCTGTTTAAGTAGTATTTTCTCACTTTGAGAGTATCAGCATCTAGATTCTACTGGCTGATTAGTCGGTAAGGAGTTGTTTTGCCAACTGGAGCATGTAGTTTGAATCCACCAGCTGCTGCATGAGAAAGATGGACAATCTCCTCCATGTGATTTAGTCTCTGAAAAAAACATGGAGGGTCAGCTATGAGTTGGTTCAGACTTAATAGCAGTGAGTTTAAGGTTTTTCTTTCTTTTCTTTGAGGCTCTAAGAAAGCCTTGGTGGCACGATGCATAACATGGTAAGTTGTAAACTGAAAGGTTGAAAGTTTAAGTCAGCTGCTGCTCCACATAAAGATTTATGACCTCAGAAACCTGTTGGGGGGGGCAGCATGTGGGGGAAAGGTTGTTATGAGTCAGAAGAGACTTGATGGTAGTAGATTTTGTTACTGTCTATTAGGTCTAGAGACTCCTCTCTGGGAGTTGTGGCTTTTTGCTACTTGTAGATGTTGGTCCTGATGGGCAAGTAAAGGGAAGTTTTGGGGGTTGTGATTTTTTGAGGGGGTTATGTTTGATGTTTATTACTGCTCTTTCCCCCCGAAGAGTGGGGGTCCTTGAGCCTTTGCCTAGGGTGAAAATCTGCTCAAAGGCATTGGCTTAAAACACTACAGGGTGGCTCTTGGGCCAAATTTATTAATTTTCAAATGAATATTCCTTGAATGATACAGCAATCTTTTGTCTATTTGCAGAACTGAACAACTTGGTGTTGCTATGATGCTTCACACTGTTCCATAGTCTTGTCAAATACCACAATGGTTACCCATTATGTACAATGTTTGGATGAGCTTCCAGATTGATTGAGGCTGGGAAGGAGGAGTGGCATCCACTTCCCAAACTAGATGCCCCTGGAAACTCTACAAACTCTCTAATCTCTACAAACTCTATAAATGTACAGAAATGATGGTAGTTATAGAACAGAGTTCTGTACAGAAATTATGTTAGTTATAGAACAGAGGTTAAGTCTTTTGTGCAAAACTTACTCTCAGTATTCGACTTGGCAACACTTACCCACGGCTAAGTGAAACTGGTGCTGTTATATCTGGAGGAACACTCTTCCACTTTGCACATCACTCTTTGTCAATGTGCTGCATGAAGTAACCTGGGTTGCTGTGATGCTGAACCTTGTACCATTGGGGTATCAAATACCAGAATGGTTTCCCAGTGTGGACAGTGTGGTGAAGCTCCCAGTTATAAAACAGGTTTGGAAGCAGGAGTGGCATCCACTTTCTAAACCACATGCCTTTGGAAACTCTATGAACTTGGAGAAATGAGAATAGTTATGGGAAGGCATTAGGTCTTTTTGTTCATAGAGTTGCTATGAGTCACACTAGACTCTACAGCAATCAACAACAACAACTATTAGGGTAGTGTTGTGGTTAAGGCATTTGACTGCTAATGAAAAGGTCAGCAGTTTGAATTTACCAGTCTCTCCACAGAAAGAAATGAGACTTTCTGTCTCCATAAACATTTACACCCTTGGGAAGCATATGAGGTAGTTCTAATCTGTCTGATAGGGTCATGGTGAGTTGAAAGTGGCACGGTGACAGTGGGGTTACCTGGGTTGGTTCTTTGTTTGTTTGTTTTGACTCAAGGTCAAGGACAGTGGTTAAATTCTTGCTTTCCACACGGGAGACTCAAGTTCAGTTCCTGGCCTGTGTATGTTAAATGCAGCCACCACTCATCTGTCATTGGAGACGTGGATGTTGCTATGATATTAAACAGATGTCTGGACTGAGAAGAAAGGCCTCTTGATGAACTTTCCTACACCAGCCAGTGAAAAGCCTGTGAATCTCAATCATAACTGATCCTGGGGACATGCGGGTGCATCCTTCTGTCACGCATGGTGTCACCTCCTCAACAGCAGTTAGCAGCAGTCGGCTCTAGACCAGGCTGTTCTCCCATGGTGGGGTCACATCCCTGCAGGTGCTTCTGGTCAAGACAGGCTCTCACTAGATCCTAAGGGATGATTGTGTGGATTTATGTGGCCACTTGCTCTTTGAATATGACTAGGCCAATGCTGGCGGCTACTAACAATACTTTCTTTTTTCTTTATTTTATATTGGTTTGCTTACAAAGTGTGTATAGATTGTATTTTACACTATTCTTCATTCATAATGTGTTTCATACAATCATTCCCATGCATTATGTTTTATAAAATTAATCACCACTGGACCTTGCCCATCATCACCTTGTCTTTTCAGGCCCCCCTGAGTGTTTCCCATTTCCTTCACCCTTCCTTCTACCCACCAAACTGTGCAACCCTGCAGTTTCACCCTTACCCATCCTCAGCCCTCCGTTCCCACTCCTTACCTCTTTGGGTACTCATACTTTATCTTCGAAACACACATAGTCTAGTTGAGAAGAGAAAGCAGAGGGTTGGTTATATATAAGGAAAAAGAGCCTTCAGTGGAATGCAGCTGGAGTGCCAGGAACTCAGGTAAGGCTAGATGTGGTGTGACTGTGTTCCAGTCCTGCTCTGCTTCTGTTTGGAGACAAGTTTCAAGCCTTGTGAACCTCAGCTTCTGCTTTGGGAAAATGAGTACCTAGTTTATTGTTTCTTGACTCAAGTGATGATTCACAGTAGAATGAGAGATGTTGTTGTTATGTACTGTTGAGTCAGGACTGACTCATGGCTGACCTTCCAGAGAAAGTAAATCACACAAGAGGCGATTGCCCATCTTTCTGTCATGTAGCAGCTAGTGGACTTGAATACCTGCCTCTGGGTTGGCAGATTAACTCCTTGCTCATCAGACAACTCATCCCGTACATGAGACACTCACACTTTATTTTTTCAGGTTGATAACAACTTGCTGGGGGTGGTAGACCTTCCCTAGTCTCAGCTTCTGAGTCATCCGCTCCACCTTGGCCATCTCGTCCTCCCTTTTGCTAGGGCATTTGGGGTTAAGGAGGCCAGGCATCTCATTGACCAGGCTCCAAGGGCCTGGGAGACAGGTCATGACATTGTATTCTGTCCCCCATAGTGACCGGCTGGCCCTCCTGCAGGTCCGGGGCATCCTGCAGCAACTCGGCCTGGACAGCACATGCGAGGACAGCATCGTGGTGAAGGAAGTGTGTGGGGCTGTGTCCCGAAGGGCAGCCCAGCTCTGTGGCGCTGGCTTGGCTGCCATTGTGGAGAAGAGGAGAAAAGACCAGGGGCTTGAGCATCTGAAGATCACTGTGGGTGTGGACGGCACCTTGTACAAGCTGCACCCCCAGTGAGTGCCCGGGGAGAGGTGGGAGGGGACTTGGGGGAGGGGATTGTATAACAATGAAAGAATTTTTTTTCCAAGAGAAAAGTGAACTAGGGGGCAGGGAGAGGTGAGCAGGGAGGAAAATGTGCAACAATGAATGAATGGAAATCCATGTTCTCTATAAACTTTCATTAAAATATCAATTTTTTAAAAAGTTCATTAGGCAATCAATGTAAGGAACTCAATCATGGATGTCATGAGTCATCTCAACCAATTGGTTTCATGATGTGTTTCATGATATAGTGCTTCTGTTCTACCTCCAAGTTTGTTGTGTAATCCCTGGGGCATTAAAATCTTGCAAGTGGCCATCCAAGACACAATTGATCTCTTTATTTCTGGGACAACAGAGGAAGGCGAGTCAGAAATAGGAGGACATGGAATGTGTGGCTAACCCTTTGCTAAGAGACCAGAACCACATGGTGCCATACTACCATTAATTACTGAGCATTTTGACCACAGATTCCATAGAAGAATCTTGATCAAAAGGGGGAAATGTAGACTAGAATTTCAATTTCTAATGGACCTCAGACTTCCTGGAGCCATAAAGGTTAGATGAATCCCTGAAATGATTGCCCTAGATAATCTGTAAAATGTAAACAACAAATATCCCAAGAAGTCCTCTTCAAACCCAATAATGGCTTAGCCCAACTAGTGAAAAAAAATCTGACTTGAGTATTATGACCTGTTAAGGACTATCTATATGGTATCAAATTGACAACAGCAACTTGGTAGATTAGTTAGGAATCACTGAAGTCAGTAAGTTGATCTTAATGAGAGGGAGAGAGAAAGAACTCAGAAAACAAGAATGAGAATCTGTGAACAACCAGAATAATATAATCAGTGTAACTAAATGTACATGTAGAAATTATTGAATTAGTGATGGTTTTGGTATTCTCAGTAACAACAAAATAAATACAAAATGTTAAGGAAGTATATTGTTAGGTGCTGTTGAATATGACTCATAGTGACCCTATGAACAACAGATCTTAACCTGTCCTATCCTATGCTGTTCTCAAAGTCTCTGACACACTGGGGCCCATTGCTGTAGTCACTGTGTCAATCTACCTGGTTGAGAGTCTTCCTCTCCTTTGCCATCCTTCCACCTTTCCAAGCATGATGTCCATCTCCAAGGAATAGCCTCTCCTACTAACATGCCTGAAAGATGTAAGACCAAGCTTTGGCATCCTTGGCTCCAAGGAGCGCTCTGGCTGCACCTCCTTCTAAATCATGTCTGTTTATTCTTTTGGCAACCCATGGGATATTTAGTACTCTTCTCCAAGAGGACAACTCAAAAGCATCAATTCTTCTTCTATCATCCTTATTCTTTGTTCAGCTCTCAGATGGATAGCAAGTGATTGAAAAGATCATGGTTGAATAAGGAACACTTTAGTCTTCAAAATAAAGGACCTCAAATCACCAGAACAATCCTGAAAAATAACAAGTTTTGAAGACTCATTCTTCCTGATTTCACGACTTACTATAAAATAATTTAGAGTATGTATTGACATAAAGATAAATGTATAGATCAACTGAGTGCCTAAAAAGAAACAAACATTTATTGACAATTGACTTTTGACAAGGGCATTAAGACTATTCAATGAAGGAAAGATGGGCTCTTTTCAACAAGTGGCACAATGATAAGATAAACATATGCGAAGAAAAACATTTTAATCTCTCCTTGAAATTTTGGATGCAAGAGTAGCATCCACTTCCAAATAATATGTCTCTGGAAACAATGAACTTTGATAAATGTTGATAGTTGTAGAGGGGCTTCAGGCCTTTTGTTCATAGGGTTGCTATGAGTCATGCTTGACTCAAAGGCAATCAACAACAACACTTGAAATGATATTAAAAAGTTAACTCAAGATTGACTATAGGCCTAAATGAAAGAGATAAGAAATAGAAAACTCTTGGAAGAAAAATAGGAATAAATCTTCGTAATTATGAATTTGACAGTAGATCTTTAGATGTTGCTGTTGTTGCCAGGTGCCATCAAGTAGATTATAACTTATAGCAAAGAACAGATCTGAACCTTACCCTAGTCTGTGCTGTCCTCATGATCTTGAATATGCATGAGCCCATTCTTACAGTTACAATGTCAGTCAATCTTGTTGAAAGTCTTCTTTTTCTTTGACCTTCTACCTTTCCCAGCATGATTTTTTTCCCAAGAACTCACCCATCCTGACAACATGCCTAAATTATGTTGAGACAAAGTTCCACCATCCTTGTCTTTAAAGAGCTAAAAAGAAAAAGAACCAAGGAAGCTCTGGGGCCTAGTGGTAAGAAGCTGCACTGCAATCCTGAAGGCATGTGGGTGGAGGCCACCAGGTGTTCTAGGGAGGATGAGCAATCTCCTCCTGTGTGGTTTACTGCTTCTGAAAACCCACGAGAGGACAGCTATGGATCAGTTGCAATTCGATGGTCCACAACAACAACAAAGAAGAAAATAGATAAGTTGGATGACTTAAAATTTTATATTTTTTATTTTAAAGGATATTATTAAGAAATTGAAGAGATAGATGTCCCATAGATCAAGTAAACATATTTTCACATTCTTAATTTGATAAGGGACTTTCATTCAAAACTTTTACTTTTTATTGCTAAAATAAAATAAAGACAAGGAACTGAGTTAAAAAATGGTGAAAGGATTTGAACAGATATTTCTCCAAAGAAGGTCCATAAAAGGAAAGATACTTCATAACATTGCCCACAAGGGAAAAGTTAGTCACAAAAAAGCATCTATTATGTGATTCTATTTATATAAAATATCTCAAAATTCAAGTCAGCGCTATTGAATTAGAACCAACTCATAGCTGCCCACCATGACTCAGGAGATTTCCTGTCTTTCTCTGGTGGGTTTGAACCAACAGAGAGACGTAACTTTTGGCTTAGCACAACTGCCTGTGGACTAGGCCACTGGAGTGATCTCAAATATACAAGATATCTAGAATAGGCACGTTTATAGAGACAGTGAGATTAATGTTTGCCAAGGACTGGAGAATGTTAGATCGGAGAAGTAACTGCTGAATATTAATGGGTATGAAGTTTATTTTTGAGATGATGAAAATGTTCTGGAATGAGAGAATGGCTGTGGTTGCACCATTTTGTGAATATACTAAAAGCTACTTATTGTACTTTTAAGAAGATAAGCAAGAAATCTGGAGAACAACCACTTGGCCAACTGACTGGAAGAGATCTATATTTGTTCCCATCCCAAAGAAAAGTGACCCAACAGAGTGTGGAAACTATAGAACAATCTCATTGATTTCACATGCAAGCAAGATTCTACTGAAGATTATAAAAAAACCACTGGAACAACACATCAGCAGAGAACTGCCAGAAGTCCAGGCTGGGTTTAGAAGGGGTTGTGGTACTAGGGATATTGTAGCTGATGTTAGATGGATCTTAGCTGAAAGCAGAGAATACCAGAGGAATGTCTGTGTTTCATTGACTATGCAAAGGCGTTTGACTGTGTGGACCATAACAAACTGTGGCTGACTCTGAGAAGAATGGAATCCCAGAGCATTTGATCATTTTAATGCAAAACCTATACTTGGACCAGGAGGCAGTCGTCAGAACAGAGCAAGGGAACACTGCATGGTTCAAAATTGGGAAGGGTGTATGCCAGGGATGCATCCTCTCTCCATACCTTTTCAACCTATATGCAGAACAGATTATCCAGGAGGCTGGGCTCTATGAGGACAAATGTGGGGTCAAGATTGGTGGACGATTTATCAACAATCTGCTTTATGCAGATGACAATACCCTGCTTGCTGAAACTGAGGAGGACCTGAAGCACCTGCTGCAGAGTGTCAAGGTCTGCAGACTCCAATATGGATAGAGGCTCAATGTCAAGAAGACAAAAGATTCTCACCACTGGAACAATTGGCAGCAACAGGATGGATGGTGAAGAGATTAAGATTGTACACAGCTTTAGTCTGCTTGGCTCCACAGTCAACACTCTTGGCACCGGTAGCCAGGAAATTAAAAGGTGCATTGCCATGGGAAAGTCTGCTGTTAGGGACCTCTCCAAAGTACTGAAGAGCAATGGTGTCTCTCTGGAGACTAAGGTGCGTCTGATACAGGCCATGGTCTTCACAATCACTTGTTATGCATCAGAGAGTTGGACAATGACCAAGGAGGATAGAAGGAGAATTGATGCCTTTGAGCTGTGGTGCTGGAGAAGAGTATTGAGAATACCATGGACTGTTAGGAAAACAAACAAATTAATCCTGGAAAGGGTTAAACCGGGTGGCTCCTTGGAGGCAAGGATTCTGAGGCTCCGTCTAAACATACTTTGGACATGTTGGGAGGAGAGACCAGTCCTTGGAGAAGGACATCATCCTTGGGAGGGTGGAGGGATAACGCAGGAGGGGAAGGCCCCCTATGAGGTGGATTGATTCAGTGACTGGGATAATTGGGATGGGAGTGTCAGAGACAGTGCGATTGGCACAGGATAGAGCAGGGTTAGGGCTGTTGTACATAGGGTCACTATGAGTTGCAAGCAACTCGATGGCACATAACAACAACAACAAACAACAAGCTAAAAAAAATAAAAAAGGACTTGGCTGTGTACCAAGTCACTTTCTGTTTTCTTGCAGGCAAGTCAGGGTTAACCACTCTTCTCATGTTTCCATAAAGACTTCAAGTCTTCTCCTTTTAACCAGCAGAATGCCATGGCTGGCCAGGCCACCCACTGGGATTGTATGGTAGAGTCAAGTTCAAACCTGCCTGACAGCTGACCCTCAGAGATGACCCCTGTCTATACTGTTCATGGTAACCCAGGATCCCAGAAACCAAGGCAAACTGGGGCCTAGATACCTAGGCTCTGACCAATAATCTGGCCCTACTGGCTGATTTGATAACTCTGACTCTCAAGACACTCAGACAAGTGGACGTGATATCTTTAAAGACAATTGAGGGAGGCAGGAGATCATTGTAACTAGGGTTAGGTGCCTTTTGAGACACAGGTGTTTTAATAATTGTTAAATCTAGGTAGAGGGTGTGGAGATGGTGATTATAGCATTTGTGAATTTTAAGATTTTCAAAAGTTCATGGAAGTTTAAAAAAGAAAAGAGAGAAGAGTGGGCATTAGAAAAAGATAGGTGTGAATCAAACCTAATAAACTTACTACTTGTGCAAACTTGGATATATTTCTTAACTCTTGAGCGTCTGTTTCTTTATGTAGTGGGAATAATACCTCTCTTCAAACTTGTACTGCTTATGCTTTGATCTCTCGTGTGTGTAAAACATCTAGAACAGCTTCTGGCGTTAATAGTTTTCCAATAAAAGATAAAACAGTTGTTTGAGAGGCTGTTTAGATCTGAAGAGCAATCTAACAGGAACTAGACTGTTAGAAATAGGCTGTTTCCACATGTAAATGCTGATGCGTTTCCTTTCTCTTCTTCACAGCTTTTCTCGGATATTGCAGGACACTGTGAAAGAGCTCGCGCCTCAATGCGACGTGACGTTCATGCTGTCAGAGGATGGCAGCGGGAAGGGAGCGGCTCTCATCACCGCTGTGGCCAAGAGGTTACAGCAGCCGCGGAGGGAGAACTAGGGACAGCCCAGGGGCAGGCGTGACATACCTGGACACTGACCAGCCTTGCCTTTGGTGGATGGGTTGGGCAGGGACCGACAGGAAACCTGCTGGCACATTTCATCTCCTCAGTGATCAGGGAGAGCCCTAGGTCCCTGGACACTCTTGTTGCTGGTTCTGCAGTGGCGTTCAATTCCTATTTGGTGAATTTAGGCTGAAGATACGCCAGTTTGTGAAATCAGAGAACTTGGCTCAAGAGATCCCCTTTCAGAGGAATTTTTTTTTTTTTCGTTTCTCTTGAGGTTTGTCATTTCTCTGTGACTTTAGTGGACTTGGAAACACAAGGTTGGCCCATGTGACTCAATTGACTGATACCCTACTGAGCTGCTCAATCCATTGTTGTAGTGAATTGGACCCATTGCTGTGGATAAACTATTGAAAATGAAAGACACTCAAGTAATAAACTGGGGATCCAATCATCTAACTTGTCCTTGACTCCAAACATGAATAGAGAACAAAGACTCTGGAGTGTTCAGCTCTGGGATGCAGAAGGACCAGTTATGAAGGAGCCCTTGTATGAACCCACTCCTGCTTCAGTGAGTCAGCCCTTTAGGGTCTTCCATCAGCCAGCTGTGTGATGGCTGGGATGTCATGTAGAGCATCTGATTCTCATTTTGCACATGATTTGTGTTGCTGCTGTTGATAGTTGTTTTAAGGACTGTTAGGTATGTGAAATCTAGTAAGTAAATTTAAAAAAGTTCTAATTTCCCAACACACAGGTGTTACTGTTTCATCTGGGAGGCTCTCTTGCTAGCGTCTTGCTCAGCTGGTGGGATGGGGGACACAGAGAATGAAGGTTCTGAGAGTGTCTGTTGAAGTCAAAGTTCCCACCAACAGGAGGAAATACAGGGTTTCTTCTTAACATCTTTAATAGATTACCCTCTTTTTGGCTTGGGGAATGCTTCCAGTAACTGGGAGCTTGTGACACTGTCCTATAGCTCTTGCTTTGGAGTTGCTGGAGGTGACAGGAAGTTCTTTTGACTGACAAACTGATCCTTACCTCCCAGGAACTCACCCCTCCCACAGATCCTACGGGTATCCCACCCATTCCACCCTCTAGAACTCTCCATGGACGTCTTCCCTTCTCTTCTCATGTCCCTGGTCCTTATCGAAACATCTGTGACTCTCCACCTTGCCTCACAATTACCTGCATGAGTTTCTTCACTGGCCTAGTAGATTGGTTACTTCTGTCAGACCATCTTAGTATTTGCTCAGAGTCCAGAACTACTCATTAAATATTTATTGGATGGAGGCATGGTTAAAAAAGAAGGCACTCCAAAACATTTTTCTCAGAAAAGGTGGACACGATCCTCCTGGGAAATCAACTGAAAAGAGTAACATAGTACATCATTCAGACTCCTTTCCATTGGATTATGTACTTAAATGACATACATCAATAATTAAATTACATAATCATACAACTCCACAAAGGAGTTGGCTAATTGTTCATAGATGGGGTGTCCGGGGCTGACCGTTCCCTGTGCTGAAGGAGGATGTTCAAACAGACAGGAGGTGGCTGAGTCTATGAAATTGAGAAAGAAACCCTCTAGAACTGAGGACAGATGAGAGAACTGACAATTTCCTGAGAAATGTCTTCTTATGTATTTAATAAATAGAGTTTCTGCTTTAACTCTCATATAGAGTTATATCTTCTAATATGTTTATAAACAAATATAGTTATTGCTATAACTCTATCACCTCCTTCACTTACTAAAATTAACTCTATCTTTAGATCTCTCTAGGGAAATATATAGTTTAATTAAAATTATCTTTTTGATACTTTTTTTAAAAATTTGAGGCTTTATCTCTTTTGGCAACTGTTTTATGTTGTCAGGTTTGCCCTCAAGTCAACTGCTATTCACAGTGATCCTATAAGCAGCAGATTCAAATCTTACCCTATTTTGCACCATTGTCATGATCTTCATGCTCAAGCCCATATAGTTACTGTATCAACCTATACTGAGGAGAACTTGAAGCGCTTACTGCAGAAGGTTGAGAACTATAGCCTTGAATATGGACGGAAGCTCAACATGAAGAAAACAAAGATTCTCACCACTGGGCCAACTGGCAGCATCATGATAGGTGGTGAAGAGCTTGAGATTGTTCACAGCTTTAGTTTGCTTGGCTCCACAGTCAACACTCTTGGTACCAGCAGCCAGGAAATCAAGAGATGAATTGCATTGGGAAAGTCAGCTGTCAGGGACCTCTCCAGCGCACTGAAGAGCAACGATATCAGTCTGGAGACTAAGATACACCTGATCCAAACCATAGTCTTCGCAATTACTTGCTATGCCTCAGAGAGCTGGGCAATGACTAGGGATGACAGAAAGAGAGTTGATTGATGCCTTTGAACTGTGGTGCTGGAGAAGAGTTTTGAATATACCATGGACTGCTAGGAGAACAAACAGTTTGTCCTGGAGAGGGTGAAGCCAGAATGCTCCTTGGAGTCAAGGATTCAGAGGCTTCATCTGGCATACTTGGGGCATGTTGCAAGGAGGGACCAGTCCTTGGAGACGGACATCATGCTTAGAAGGGTGGAGGGACAGAGAAAGAGAGGGAGACCATCGATGAGATGGACTGATACAGTGACTGGAGTAATGGGGGTAGGTTTGTCAGAGACAGTAAAGTTGACCCAGCATAGAGCAGGTTTCAGGGCTGTTGTATATGGGTTTGCTATGAGTTGCAAGAGACTGGACAGCACATAACAACAACAATGTATCAACCCATCCTGTTGAGGTTTTTCATCTCCGTCTCTCTGACCCCACTACCTCTCTCAGCATAATGCCTTTTCCCAAGGACTGGCTCCTTCTGACAACATGTCCAAAGTATGTGAAACAAAGTTTCACCATCTTTGTTTCTAAGGAGAATTCTGGTTATGTTTCCTCCAAGATTGACCTGTCTGTGCTTTTAGCAGACTGTGATATAGTCATTAATCTTTGCCAATACACAATTCAAAGGCATCAATCCTTCTTCAGTCTTCCTTATTCATTGCCTAGTTTTCAGTTTCATAGGAAGAACTGAAAATATCATGCCTTCCATCAGGTACATCTTAGTCTTCAAATTAGTATTCTTGGTCTTTAGCACTTTAAAGACGTCCTTGACACATTTCCTTAAAAAAGCTGAACACAGAAATTTCATATGGCCTAGATCTTCCACTGCTTGGAATATATTCTGAGAAAATGAGAACTGAGACACAAATGGAGATTTTTACACCAATGCTCATAAGCAGCGTTGTTCACCATCACAAGAACATGGAAACAGCCTGAATGTCCAACCATAATCTAATGGATTGAGAAAGAAGGGATAAATAATGTACTCTGCATTGAAACAGATGAGGGAGAGAACTGTTTAAAAGGGATATGTGATTAGATATTATTGTCATGATAGGAGTCCAGACCAAAGGCTGCATAGTGGAGTGGACTTGGGGGGAGGGATTATATAACAATGAAAGAATTTTTCTTTTACTTTTCAAAGAGAAGAACAAACTGGGGTTGGGGTAGGTTGGGCAGGGAGAAAAGTGCAACAATCAAGGAATGAAAATTAAAGTCTCTGTAAAATTTCATTAAAATTAATAAATAAAATAAAAAAGAATAGCAAGAGGTGCTGTAACCATAAATAGGTGGCTTTCAATTTATTAAAGCATTTTTTAAATTTAAAAAAAGAAAAATTAGGGCTTCTGTCGTGAAGTGGCACACGTAGGGCAACTCTATTGCTCTACATGTGGAATCGACATCAAGAGATTTTGGAAGCGTAATTTTTGTTTACTGGGCAGCTGGTGATTGTTGGTCCCGGCGCCCTTAGCTAAATAAAAAATTAGTTTTTCAATTACTTTCGGAAAAAAAGAAAGAAAAATTGTGATACATTCACAAAATGTAATACACAGCACTCAGAAGCAATGATTTTGAAAATTTCTACATAAGTTGGGAGGGATTAGAGAGCATTATGCTGAGTGAACTAACAGTCTCATAAGGACAAATGCTGCATAAGACCAATATTGCAGAAATAGATAACTAGTAAAAAGTGTATGAGAATCCAAGGGGCAGAAGGTAAGAGCAAAGGGATGAGGATGGGCCGAGGGGTAATCATAGAGTCATGCAATTTGATGGGTGGCGGGAGGGATGAGTAAAGGAAACGGGAAAGATCAGACGGCGATCTGGAAAGACAGGGTAATGGTGGGCATTGTTCAATGTTGATTAGTTTTATAAAATATAATTAATGGGAATGATTGTATGAAATAATATGAATGCAGGATAATGTGAAACACAATGCATACAAACTTTGTAAGATAATATAAAATTTAAAAACATTATTTCTAAAAAATAATAAAGAGGTCCTTGATGGTAGATTTTCACAATGCAACACATATTTTGATTTCTTGACTGCTGCCACCATGAGTGTTGATTGTAGATCCAAGTAAAATGAAATCATTGCAACTTCAATTTTTCTCCCATCTCTCATGATGCTGCCTATGGGAATTTTGTTTTCGATGCTGAGATATAACTCATACTAAAGACTGTAGTCTTCTTCAGCAAGTACCTCCAGTCTTTTTCACTTTTAGCAAGCAAGGTTGTGTTTTCTGCATAACGCAGGTTGTTGAAGAGGCTTCAATACTGATGGATAATCATATAATCACTCTTCTCGAATGATTTGCTCAGCATATATATTGAATAGGGATAAGGGGGGGAAATACAAGATAGAAAGCATACTTTCCCTGATTTTAAACCATGCAGGGTTCTCTTGTTCTATTCGGACAACTGCTTCTTGGTCTAAAAAGAGGTTTCACATGAACACAGTTAAGTATTCTGGGATTCCCATTCTTCTCAATGTTAGCCATAATGTGTTTTTGCAGAGTCAATAAAACACAAAGAAACATCCTTCTGGTTTCTCTGCTTTTAGCCAAAATCTGTCTGATATCCATAATAGATTTTCTTGATTCCCCAGTCTTTTCTGAATCCAGCTTG